GAAGAGNGTCAGAGAGGAGAGCGATCAGGTGTTAGCCGCCAGGCTTTGGCGCGCTGTAGTAGGTGCAGAGAGACTGGCCATAACTCGCGTACGTGCAAGAAAGATACTCTAGGTACTGCTTAATCTATTATGTTAATATGTAGTAAAACAACTATATTGTGGTGGAACTACAGGCTTATAGAGGTGCGCAGGTTTGGTGGGGTGCGGCGCTCGCTTGCCTGCGGCGCTCGCTTGCCACATACGTTACATCTAGTATTAAACATGATACTCTACTCGACTGTATTTTCTTCATCTTTCATGTACAAACACTCGCTCAAACCAGCAACCATGACAGCCCGGGTATCGAAAAGCAAACGCTTTGAAAAAAAAATCAAGTGCAAAAAAAAAGGGGGAAAAGAAAAAAAAAGGGCAAAGGACTTTTGGTCGACTCAAAACTCGCGTGACTCGCCAATCTCACACACGTCAAACCCATGCTTGCCTTCTGTTACGCCCTTCCACTTGCAGGCATCTTTGAGTTCTCGCGGCGGAGCCAGGACCTCCTCCTCGGTCAAGACCCAAGTGCCCCAGTGCATGCCGAGCGCACGCTTACACTTTGTATCGGCAAAGATGTTGACGGCGTCCTTGGGATTGGCATGGACATTGCTGAACATCCAGCGGGGCTCGTAAGCGCCGATAGGGATCAGGCCGAGATCAAAGGGCCCGCGGTGTTTTCCGATTTGGGCAAATGCCGGGCAGGTGGGCAGGTGTGCGTGGGCGGGGGCGTAGTCGTCTTCGGTCTCGGGGATGCTTTTGGGCACGGTGCGGTAGCCCGTGTCGCTGGGGGGGAGGGGTGTTAGTTTATTGTGCTGTAAGGAGAGAGCGAGGAATCAGCCAAATACTTACCCTGCGAAATACACTTTTGCGCCGCCAGATTCTATGCTCCAGCTTGCCCAGAGGGTTTTGCACTTGTCGAACGGGCCCCGGGCACTCACGTGCTGACATGGGAGTGCGCCTATAGTCGCAGTGATACCCCCGGGGGCGGTGCTACCCACAGACACACGCTTTTCCGACGAGCCCTCATCTAGCCGTACATGTCTGCTTTCCCACCAATCCAGCTCCGTGACATTGGTGACGCCGCTCTTCAAAAACCAGTCTTTGTTGCCGAGGGGCGCGAAGAAATGCGCATTGGGGAACTTCTTGTGCAGCCGCTGGATAGTCGGGTAGCTGAGATGGTCGTAGTGGTTGTGGCTGATGACGACTGCGTCGACGACGGGCAAGTCTTCGATTTCGCACGGCGGAGGCGTGTACCGCTTGAGGTTCTTGAGATTGATGGGCGCACAGCAGTCTTCGAAGACGGGGTCGAACAGGGCGCGGAACCCGTTGGGAAACTCAATGTAGTAGCATGCATGCCCGAGCCATGTAGCCCGTAGTCGCGGTGTTTCACGCGTAGGCAGAAAAGACGGGGTGCGTACGGCAACGGTCGGGGGTGTGGTATCCGGTTTCTTTGCTTGGCCGGTGATTTTGCGCCTACAAAGAAAATCAGTATGTATCCTAGATGGTGTCTTTCTTTTTTTTTGGTGTATAATGATAGTGGAGGACTTACCAAAAAATACCCGAAAGCAACTCCCACGGCGTCGCCTCCACATAGCTCTCCCAGGGATTCGTAAAGCCCTTTCCATTCTTCAAATGATGTCTCTTTTGGTCGGCCTCTTCTGGCTTCGCCGCCATCTGCGCGGGATTGCTCACGACGGCATACAATCCCGCGCCAATGCCTGCGCCGCCAATGGAACTCATCTTGGCCGTTGTACTGAATCGCGGTGTGTGTAAAAAACCCTGGTAGTTTCGGGGTTTGGGTTGCGGATGGGAGAGAAGCCGGGGTTGCTTGTTGATGTTCAGCCTCGTACAGCGAGACCACAGCGTGGACCGTGGAGACATGGCAAGAATAGATGAAAGACCATCTATATATGCAGCGTACACGGGCTGGGCGTGCGAATCTCACGAGCTGCGGCCGCTGAGTACGCACACACACGTTCACGCGCGCACGCCTGCCTGTCTAATCTCCCTTCACACTCAGGCACGCCCACACAGATAGGCGAAGAAAGATTAGTCCCACCGGCGTCTTTTGTCCCCTCGCACAGGTCGCACGAGTCTGAGGCGGGCAAAAGATGCGCCAGAATATCGGAGTTAACGCATGTGCTGTTTCGTTGACGTAGACAAGAGCCGAGGACATGGATTCGGCTAGTCTTGCGACAAGGCCACTCGCACACGCCTCGGCTTCCCCTCCGTATATCAAATACATACATACATAACAACTACATGGCTGCAGCACCAACCAAACGCTTGTCGAATTCGTTACAAGAGTAAAGATCAAAAGCCGAGCGTGTTGCAGCACCGACACTCTGTTTGTTTTCCACTTCTTTCGTCATGCTCTCTTCCCCGGCTGCTGCCGCCACCCCCCGTTGCCCAAGTGTAAGCGTAACACGCAACGGAACCCTGGATTTATGGCGCAATACGTTAGATACTAGCATGGGAGGGGGTGGGGGACCGTCATACGATCCTTTAGATCACCATTCTGCACTCGAATCGACGATACGACTGCTGCTGCTGCTGCGCCAGTCAGCCGCCAGCCCCCGTTGTACGTGGTATGGATGCATGCATGGCTGCCTGTTCGCGGGGCTAGGCTTAAGCCCCGGCTTCCTGCGAGTACCTTCGTCCGTCTGTACCCGGCTGTGTACATGTGCATGTACGACAGTAGCATCACTGTTGCTAATGGACTGGTAGGCTGGTGGCAAAATGCTGACGATCAAGGAGTGGATGCGAGTCCAACAACAGCAGTAATTTGATACCAACACCATTCGGCTTCCCTATTGCAAAAAAAAGCATTTGACATGTACTCTAACAATCCCAGAACATGTCCGAGTACTCATTATTATGTCATGTTCATAATTCTATGCAGAAGAAGCAGTTTGCCATGGATTGAAAGTCAGCCCGTCCATCCAGAGCTGGCTCATTTTCTTCTAGCTACGAGTATTGGCTACCTTGACCCAGAACCCGATACAAGCTTCAAAGGCCCAATCAACCCAGTCTAATGATACAAGACACTGAATCAAAACCACGACTCATCACCACAATAGCAGGAACCCAAAAAACCAATCAGTGTTGTTTCCTGTGCGACATGGTCGCTTTTCTAGGATTTTTTTTTCGCATTCTTTGTTGTGTCCCGAAGATACATCGGGGTCTTTCGTATGGTATAACAGTAGTACACTAAAGAAAAAGTATAGAAAGAAGGAAATAGCTTTCCACCCTCGATCCAAAATAATGCCAGTGCCGAGAAAACCCATGAAAAAGCGAGAGGTATTTTGTTCCCACCGCGCCGAATACAATAAAGCGAATCCCATCGCTGATCCTGTGCCATTAATTACAACCCGACTCAAGCGGAGGGCAACGATGGAGAAAAAAGAAGAAGGAGAAGGAAAAAGACATGTCGTAAGCATGATAAGAGGCCCTCCAGTGGTGACGATCCGTTGGTAGCCGCCAACGTATGGAGCGCGAGGAGTGACTGGAGACGCACTAGAAGCGCCAGCCCACCCCAGAGAAGAAACAAACCGTAAACCAGTGGAGAAAGCAGCCCTCCCGTACATATTCCTGGAAGCGCTGGGGATATGAACAATCGTAAAAAAGGTGATAACGCGGCACCCGAGTGGAAAAAGCAAAAAACGCCGGTGAATCCCACAATTTCGCTGACATGCTCCTATTAGACCATGGACAAACCAAAGTCTAAAACGTAAAACCCGTGATGACAAAAGAGTGAAAGGAAAGAGAAGAAGTGAACAAGGGAAAGAAAAAAAAAACAAGGAAAAAGAAGTGTGAAAATCTATCATGCGATGTAATCGCAAGCCTGGTGCGTTTTCATGAGATCCGGAGTGGCACCAATATGCGTGCGCAGGTAGCTTAGGGAATAGAGCAGATGCGCCGTGCGAGTGTCCGGTAGTCTAGGCTTTAGGGAATCGAAGCGGCCAAGTGTATCCAGTGACCGGGACTGGATTCGATCGGGGGAATGGCTTCGGTAAGCCGGGGTTTCTTAGAGGAAATGAGCAGAAACTTTTTGAACAAATGAAGCGCTGAAATGGGACGTCGAATATGTATCCATGGAAAAATTAAAAAGGCTGTCGTCACCATCACATCCGCTTCATCCGGGCGGCGTTTAGACAGCGACAGCCTGGGGGCCATAGCCAGGAGCCATGAAGTAGGGCGGGTGCCTCTGGACGCAGTAGGCACAGCCACAGTTGAGGCCGTGCTGGTTCCAGGCCGAAGGAGTGTACTGAGAGTAGGCTGGCGGGCCGTAGTTGGACGACTGCTGATGCCCTTGTGCAGGGGCAGGCTGAGACAGGGGGGGAAAGCCGAACATGGTGCGACGCGAATATCCCTCAACGGGGCCCCACGTACCCGTTGAGCCGTAGTACTCCGGAGTAGTAGGACCCGTAGTGGGCGCCGAGGCAGGGGAGTGCTCGCTTGCCGATCGCCATGGGTCGTACTGGGAATACGATGGAGCGTTGTACTGAGCCGATTTGGGGGCGTAGTCGTACGGCGGAGTGTAGAGCTGCTGCATGGGCAGAGGCGGAAGCGGCTTGTTGGAGTTGAGCGAGCGACGGTGCATCGACGTGTCGATGGGGCTGAGCTTGTTGGTGCGCTCGGCACGCGCAGCAGCAGTGTTCTGGTACTCCTTCCAGTGCTCTGACCAGGTGTTCCAGCCCTGCTGCTCCGTGGGATCGCGATGGAGCTTGAACTTGATGGCGAGGAGCCACTCGAGCTCGAGCTCGTTCAACTCGTGCACCTGGATGCCGCTGACCTCGGACCACGAGCGGTTGATGAAGGTGTTGTCATCGAGAAACTTGCTGCCCAGCACCAAGGCGATGGTGAGGAGGCGGAACAAGTGCGTGTCCGTCTTGGGTTCATGGGCCAGCATGGGCATCCGGTTGGACAGGTAGAAGATGCTGAGCAGGATCGTGGCTGAAGGGAGCCTGGTCGCGCAAAGGACCTGGTGTACCCATTTACGGAACGAGGCGGGCATCATCCGACCCGGGGTGATGAGGCGCAGCGCCGTCGCGCAGACAAAATCGGTCATGACATCCATGTCGTAGTCGAGCTTCGCCGAGACACCACCGACGGGCTTCTCTTCTTTTGCAGCCTGGCTCACGCGCTGGTTGTACTCGTGCAGCCGCTGCTGCTGCATTGCCGCATCCGCCATCGAGTTTCCAGACTGCATGCGCATGGGCGGAAGCGTCGCGGCCATGGGCTCGTAGAAGGGGTTGGTGGGCGGGAGACTGGGAGGCGCATTGCTCAGATAGGTGCCGGCCTGCGGGTACATGGGCGGCATGGCGATGGCCAGTTGGCCGTAGCGGTCTGCGAAGTCGTAACCATCATCGTGCTGCCGAATCGTAGGGCCAGCATAGGCAGGCTGCTGCGGTGGGTACGATGCGCCGCAAGCAGAGTGGTAGCTGGGTACGAACTCCGGGGGAGAGAGCCGTGGCATGTTATGCCGGGGGTAGAAGGAGGGCATGATGGTGTCGGACCGTCGCAGAGAGAAGACTGACGAGGTTCCTGATGAGGTTGTTAGTGACGACTGTTTTGATGGCGAACAAAGGAGCCCTTGCGCGTGGCGCGTCGTCTAGGTGCTCGAGGGAATAATTTTTTTTTGCTGGCTGTGACGTACAGTCTTCTCGTTCGCGCCGCCTCTAGAGTAGCCTGCAGACCCTCTAGAAAGATGTACTCATTCAAAGGAAAAGTTTTTTTTGTCGCCTGCGAGAAAGTGTCTGGTGGATGGTAGGAATGTTTGGGCGCAGCTTGTTGCGCGGGCGGATAGGTGCGTGTGTGCGCGTGAGAAGTGTCGAGCAAGATGCGTTGAAATAAAAGCCGCCGAGTGTGCGTCGACAGGTTTGCTGGGCGACTCGTCGGGGATGAAGCGCAGGCCGGGGCTAAGTCAATAGATCCGGGAAATGCGTTGTCGCTAGGGGGGAGGGAGAGGCTGCTGGGGAGGGGGGGGGGGAAGGGTCGAGGATGGAGGGAGTCGATGGCAGATTGGGGGACGAGAGATTGAAACCGAGCCGTGCCCAATTACGCAGCGCAAGCCAAAACGACAACCGAGGGTTGCACACCGGGCGTGTGTGAGAGCAGGACGTAGGCGGCGAGGGGCTTGATGTCAGAGACTTGGGGTGCGGGACTTGTTAAGCCCAGGCAGACTGAGTCGAGCCGTGAGTGGCAGGAATCACAGGTTGTGGTTTGCAACCGGGCTAGGCCTGGAGACAGAGCAAGCGTCGGGTGAGGATGGTGAGCGGCTTGGGGGGGTGCCGTGACAGCCGAGATTTGATGCGCACGTCCGTTTGGCTGGGGCCACTGTGTTGCAACCTTGCTAACGCCTCGCTAACTGCCCAAGACGACACACACACGCACACACACACACACACACACACACACACACACACACACACACACGCGGCGGCGGCGCACCCACTCCCACACCCACTCCCACGCACCCACTCATCACCGCCCTCTTCCCCTCTCTCCCCTTCCTTCCCCCTCCCTCCTCCTCATCCACTCTCTCCCTCCCCCATCTACCCGTCCTCTCGCCCCCCGTCTCCTCTCCTCCTCCTCCCCTCCGCCTCCCCCCCTCGCCGCCGCCTACTCCGCCTCGTCCATCGCCTCACGTCTTCGTCGTCGCAGGCGTTGCTCCGCGAAGGGGGCCTTGTAGGCAGGCGGGCAGGCAGGCAAGGACGCGCGCAGGCCGTCTGGATCCGAGGGGAGCGCCTGCAACAGCGGTTCATTACATGAGGGCGAGGGCTTTGGCCACTCGGAGCCACTCTTGTGCGGTGAAAAAGTCTGCGTGTTGTAGCTGGTGGGGCATCAGACTGCGACTCACACTCGTGCTTGCACTCGCACTTGGCCTCGCTGGCTGGCCTTGGACTCAGCACGCTGGACCTGCTTGGCTGGCTGGCTGGCTGGCGGTGCGGTGCGGTGCGGTGACTGCCGGCGATGCTCAAGCTCAAGCTCAAGCTCATGCTCTGCTCATGCTCTGCTCATGCTCTGCTCATGACTCCTGACGCAGGAGCGCTGCAGTGGTTGTGCTCTGCATGGGCCAATGAACGCTGCCAGGGACGGCCGTCTGCGCCTGCGAGCGACAGCAAGCCACGTATCTCGGGGCCCGCCACCCCAACCCCAACCCTCGCCCTCTGCTCTGCTCTGCTCTGCCTCTGCCACTGCCTGCCTGCCCGCTTGTTGCTGCTGCTGCTGCTGCTCATCTCATCCCACCACCACCACCCGCCTTGCCGCTGATTGCCATGGCCATGGTGCCCCGAGCACGAGCACCAGCGTCCGTTTTTGGTTATTTTTAAATACACCCATATGCTCGTCGTAAGTGGATATATAAATACTACACACATGTATATACACGCGTGTATATGTAAAGGGGCTTTAAATTGCGACTGCGACAGCACACGACTACGACAGCCAGCGCTTCCAGGGCGCCCATGGTGTGGCCACGAGGCCGTGTCGGGCTGGGCTGGCTGGGCTGGGCTGGCTGGGCGGGCGGGCGGGCGGGCTGGTGGTCGTGGTCGTGGTCGTGGTCGAGATGGTCGAGGTGGGTGGGCGTTTCTTGTTTGCTCTGGTGCTGGGCAGCAGCAGCGAATGGCAGTGCCCGTGCCCTTTGCCCATCTCCACCCCAACTTGGGGAGAGCAAGTGCAACCAAGCCCAAGTGCAAGTGCAAGAGCGAAAAATTTTGTCCCGCCCCGGCCGTTGTGGTTGCAGCCTGCCTCGACCTCGCCATGCATGCATCCATTCAGCGTCCATCGTCCAAAGCGGAGCCAGGCAAGCAACACCTTGGTTATCCGCCTGCGCCTGCGCCTGCCTGCACCTGCACCTGCACCTGCGGGGGCATCAGCGTGACCGGCACATGCACCTGCGCAAATGGATGCCAATCCCCAAACACCTTGGCCGTGTGTGGCAGTGACAAAAACGTCGGCGGCGCGGCGGCGGCGGCGAAACCGGCCTGCTCATGCAGTGCCTCGACGCTCTCTGCGCTCTCTCCATCATCGTCATGCCATGCCATGCCACCCACAACTTGTGCAGCGTGCAGTCACAGTCGTCACTCGTGCTCGTGCTCGTGCTCGTGCCCGTGCCCGTGCCCGTGCCCGTGCTCGTGCCCTCCTCCCAAGCGCTCGGCACCTCGTTCTGGGCTCGGTGCAATTCCATAAGCAAGAGGCCACCCCATGCATCTGTGCTTGTGCTTGCCATGCATGTGAGCATTGCATGTTCGAGCCCGCCCACCTGCTCCACCCCCCAGCCCCGTTGCTGCCCGCTCCCTCTGCCCTCTCCATTGGCCCGACGCCTCCCAATAGTCTTGGGGTGACGCTCGCCCATGCCCGCTGCCCTCGTTGCTTTCAGGCACCGCCAGAGAGAGAACATTCCGTCCCGCGTCACACCCACCCACTCGCACACGCACACACACACACACACACACACACACACACATCCACTCACACCCACTCACACACGCCCTCGCCCTCGCCCTCGCTCTCTGTCTCTCTCCCTCGCCCTCGCTCTCTGTCTCTCTCCCTCGCCCTCGCCCTCGCCCTTGACCCCCGGGCCCCGTGCACAAAGCCGCTGCCTGACGTGGCGCCCATGTCCTTGTCCATGTCGTTTCCACCCGCCGACACACCGGATCATGTGCGGTGAGGGCCCAGACAGCGACACCAAGACGGTGGCCAGGAAGAAAAAAACCAAAACAATATGCGGCACTCGCCCCGCCCATTGGCTACCCACCCGCTCGCCCATGCCCTAGCCCCCATCCGGCCATAGTCGCCACAGCCTGGCACGTGAAGCGCCCCACCCCAAGTGCTCGTGGTCCGTTGTCGCCCACCCAAGCCGCTCTTTGGCAATCACGACCTGACAACTGGCCCTCCCAACAACCCGTATCCACTCCCACAATTCCACTCCCACCACCCGTTTCGCCTTCTCTTCCCCTACACCTTACACCACACATCCACATCCACATCCACATCCACATCCACATCCACACATCCACCGACTACCACTAGCACTACCACCCTCCCCCTACCCCATCGGCAAAATGCCCACCCCATCCACATCAACCCTCACAAACACAACCCGCATAAACCTAAATGATTCAAAACTTCACCACAGCACCCTCCAGCCATGTCATATCTTCCATGTACTCTGCCACCCTCACTCTACCCTACACCTAGCTAGCGTCTCGTAAAAGCCGCATCCACCCTTTTAGCTCTGCATGTCTCGACACCTCCTAAACTCGTAACACGCCCGTGTCGGCCGCGCACAAGCTCCCAAAACGCCAGTGTAAATGCTCAAATCCCGTGGTATATCCGACCAGCTTTTGCGCGCCCCCCCCATTCCCCCATTCCCATGAACAAGCAAACAAACACTCGCCTCTCAAACATATTGCACTAATTCATCTGCCGGATCAACTCGTTGATCTTGTCCTCCCGGTTGCCCAAGTCGCCGCCCTCAATGTAGTGCTTGAACTTGCGCTTGCGGAACCCGCCCGTCGGACTGTTGAGCTTGAACGGCCACAGGAAATTAGACGCCGCCTTGAAGTTGGGTCCGACCGTGCAGATCTCATGGATAACGTCTTCCATACAAATCATGCCGTACTTACCGAGATTCTCTTCAATAATCTCGTTGTCCGTCAGCGGAATCCGCTGCTTGTCAACCTTGCCGTAACCACGCTCTGCAATCTTGTCAGCATTGACCCACCATGTACCTCTAGACTCGTCTCAAACTTACTGTAGATGAGCTCACGGACCGACTTTTGATTCGGGTACCCATAGGCTACAAACGGCTCAACAATCTTCAGCATCTCCATCGTCGCCTTGGTCAGCTTGATGAAGACGCCATTGTTAATTTGCAGCAGCCGCAACAGCTGCAGTGTTTTGCGCTTCTTCGGGTCAATCTTGTTGATGCCCTTGATCCGCACCACAAACGCAAGCTTGGGCTCCTCGGGAACGTAGAGGCTCTCGCTCTTCTTGGCCTCGCGTGCCAATCTTATCCGCTCCCTCTCGGCATCGCGGTATTCCTTGACATACTTCTCAGCCCGTGTGAAGATGACCTCGCGCTTCTTCTTGTTCTTGTCTGCTTCCCGTTAGCCCTGTCCGCTGCCACTATACCATGCCACGAGCTTCCGAGACGACGATTTTTCTCATTCCCGAAAGATGGTTAACGTTTCGACAACATGGACCGTAGTCTAGCCGATTGTGTGGTTGTTATAATCATCGTAATCGTCTTCTCGGACTCTCCATTGACATGAGGGACACGTCGTACCTCGCTTTTCCCGCGTTGCGATTGCGCGCTCCTCGCGGGCTTTTTCTTGAGACTTTCTCTTCTTGAGAAGGTTCTCAGGCACGAGCGTGATGTCGCTCTGCGTTGGAACTGTTCTGCCGCATGCTCGTTAGTATGGAAATGGCGGCTAGAGTAGGGTCAACGTACGACTTCGACGACATGTTGAAGTGGTGTTCGACAAATTGTTCGCAAGCTCAATTTTTGCCAGACCCTTAGCGTTGGCGCTAAACCCCACCAGCCCAAGCGCCAACGCTAGCCCATATGGGCCCACTTCAGCTCTAGCATCTCACATATCTGCTTCCATAGTCTTTGCCCTTGTTCTACGGCGCACAACAGCTATACCAGCAATGTGTGCTCCAGTGCATCCAAAACGCCTCCCTTCTAATTTAGCAGCTTCATAAACACGGTCAGAGGTAATCGTATCGAGCATGGAGAGATACTCAAGTGATCTCAGAGAACCTCCCTCCTGTTACAATGTCAAAGACAATGACAAACATGAGACTTCGGTCTCCCGGTCACAGGTTTCTTTAACGATCCAACAAAGACATTTTCTCTTTGTTTCCACGATCAAAAACTACCAAGCTTCAGGAAAAACCAACAAGATCTATTCATTGCTTCACATCCGCACAGCTTGACTTCAGCACGCACCATGTCTGAACTACCGCCTCTACGCAAAGACCCCTATGCCCTAGCGTATCGATACAAGGAATACATGACCAAATACCCTCGTCGACGCAAAGAAAGCCGCAATCCATACTACGACAAGCTACTTGCCAATCTGCCAGATCCCGCTGAAGACGCAATGGATAATCGTTCGCGAGCCATCCGATATGCAAAGAAGCATTATGAATGTTACTACGAAATCAGAGATATCCGGCGAATCGTTGCATGGCTGCCGCCGGTTGAGGAAGAGAGCTCGAGCTAGGATAGTGAGTGTAATGCGAGTGTTCAAAAGACGGTGTGGAACATCACTGGTCTGGGTGTTGCAGGCAACATCCTAGGCGTCGTGTCGAGCTCGACAGCAAAGTTGCCAACGTAATATCAGAAACGCTTTTTCATTGTCATCACATGGTCTCATGGCACTATCAATGCGTGTCTTAGCACGGCAACTCGGTGCCGTCGCGGTCCAGGAACTTTCCACTGGTACTCTCCGTCGCTTCGTCAATCTGTTCCAATCTGATTAGTCTCGTGTACTTCCTCATGTTCCATCCGGTCAAACATACCACTTTCTTCATTGAACGCGCAACCTCGTCTGCAGGTGGGAAAGACAGCGCACCCATGTCGAGACCAAAAGTCTTTGCTAGCTCGAGGCCATCGCGTGTCATATCCGTGTCTACGGTTCTATTTCCCCAAGCCCAAGTCAGCAATGCTCTCATGTGTTGTTGCTTTCTCCACAAGAGTCCTGGGGAAATTGTTGAGGAAGAATGAGGGTACGCACCCAGGGTCATACGACAATGCAATAACATCCTTGTTATCAAGCGCCAGCCACTTGAACAAAAAGTTTCCTACAACCTTGCTAACTCCGTATCCGGATATAGGCACTGGAAGCAGATAAGTTAGCAAAATGCCTGGGTAGATGTAGCAGAGGAAAGGCTCGTAGTTTTGTTTGGTTCTCGTTCATGGTGCACCCGAGAATCGAAGCACGAGGACAGGTGTCAAAATCAATAAGAATCAGACTCACAGAAATTGACCATGTTGGTCATGCAGCCCGCCGCACTCGAGACATAGACAAACTTGGGCTTGTTGCCCGCAGCAGCACTGGCGCGAAGTAGCGGCAGCGTCGCCTTGTACACTTCAAACGGGCCGTATGCATTCACATCGACATACTTCTGGATCTCAGGTATGGGTGTATGGCTGAGGCTCGGCGTCGGCCCGTTTATACCGGCGTTAGCCACGACGACATCCAGAGCACTAATCTTGTGCGTTGTCTTCAGCTCCTCAATCCCGGCGGCTATCGACTCTGCAGACGCCATTTCCATGGTAATGGTGACGACATTCGAGCCCGCGGCCTTGGTAACTGAAGATAGCGAAGCGGCTTTGGATGCGTCTCGCACCGTGGCCACGACTGTTGTGTTGGGAGTCGCCAGGTACGCTTCCACCAGCGCTCTACCAAGACCTAGGCCAATCCATGAGAAGCTGTTTTGGGTGCAGTGAGGACAAGGAAAAGCTGCGTACCGCGGTTTCCGCCTGTGATGAGAACCGTCGTCGACATGATTGGCTTGCCTGGAGTTCCGCCCGGGGTACCGTATCCAGTTCACGACAAAAGCAAAAGTGAAAGGGACAGAGAGACACCAAAAATGGGTAGGGTATAGAGTTTGACTTGCTCCGTGAGACACGGGAAAAAAAAGAAGGATTAACTCGGCGTCTACGAGGTCTAGTCCAATTTATACATGGACGGCGGGCGACTCTTCCCTACCTGCTCGCAAAGATAAGCTTCTCACACCATTTGCCATTCGATGCCGGCGTCCCCTCTACGCAAACCCGCACATCACTGGTAACCGTACACATCAGCAAACAGATCCTGGCTGGCGTTACGGTGAGCATCTGTATGGTTGCGGGCAAATTGGCGTCCCCGCCCCGCTGGTACCTATACATGTTGAGTCGGCCCTTTTGGTGTCAGATTTGAGTTGCTTTCCTGGTCGAGTATGATTGCGTGTACATGACACGTACTATTCCATTGGCCTCAATAGAGCAATGGCTACGCTTTAAAAAAAAACCCCCATCCATGGTTTAAACCCCCCCCCCAAAAAAATTTATGTGCACATGTATTGGCATGGGAATCGCTGGCAACATAGTCAGACGGTGGTGGTAACTTGGCCTGCTTATATTAGGTTCATCCAACATGGCTCTATGGACCGGATGTACCAGGTACGGGTTTCGGATCGACACGGGTACCGTAACGGGAAGACATGTATCCAAGTGCCGGTGCGGACTTGTCCAAGAACAACGGACCAAAAAGAAACCTGAAGTGTGGAATGTGCGTTGTTTAAGTTTGGTGTTACGTCGTTCACCCCTGCAAGCTCTTAGCTTCTCTAGCTCCTCTTTGATCGAATATACTCTGCCCAGCAAGACACATTAAATATGACGTCTTGGATATCATCGCATAGCCACATGGCAGGAGACCGGAAAAACGAATCCTCTAGCATTGTCACCATCCAACAAGCACAGACAACACGTTGATCAAAATATCATATTTCAAATACTGAAGCATCAAACCAATTCGCAAGTCTCAGATGAAATAATACGCCCTCTACCCGCCCTTGATATTACACCAAAGAGAAATCCCGACACAGAGACAAAACTAATAAGCAGCATTGCCATGATCATGCTCCTTGATATACTCGCCACCCTTTTCCAAAAACTCCTCCCGGGTGATGAAATTCCGCTTCGACTCCTTTTTGCCAGCCCACTGCGCAGCACCACGCCAAGCATCAAGCACACAATCATTCGCCTTGCGAACGCTGATTGTCTGCTCAGCAGGCAGAACGGCTCTCAGCTCAGCCCTGAGCCGTTCCTCAAAGCCCTGGAACATGGTATTGCCACCAGTCAGGAATATGTCCTTGAGCACGTCGTCGCGGTACGGTGAATCGGCCAGGCGCTCGGTGAGGATGTTGGATGCAATCTCGACGATGCCTGCTTGATCAAGACCAGCAATCGTTGGTTGGAAGACGACTTCGGGGACGCGTATGCGCTCGACATTGAGGTGTATTTGGTTGATTTCCTTTTGCGACTCTGGATCAAAGGGGTAGGGGCCGTGGAGAAAAGCATGTAGTATGCTCTTGGTCCAATCCGTCTGCGCCTCGCGCGTTGATTCCTCTGTAAAGTTGGGGTCGTGCTTGAGGAGTTGAGATTCTATTTCCTTGAGATTCTTGGAGAGATCCTCCTCCTCTTCATCGTCCGAGCCCTCGCCAGTGGCAATCGTGCGGTAGACGCCCCAGTCTGCGTCATCTGCACCAAAGGTATCGTCGTCACCGCCTCCTCGCCGTCTTTTCTTCGTAGGGGCGTCCGAGGCAAGGTTTGCAATGGACTTCATACGCATCTGGTTGGCAAGGGATTTGCGGTTTCCGAGTTCGGCCTTGAGTCGCTCCCGGTCCTTGATCTTCTGGATAATGGCCTGGCGTGCCATTCTGCGCTCCTCGATCCAGCCCTGAGGGTCCGTTTCTCGCCGCTCGTCGTCGAGGCGCTGCTCTTCTGCCAATCGTGCCTTTTCCTTTTCCTTCTCAATCTTTGCGCGCTGGCGGGCGTCATAGTTGGACTTCATCAACCGCTGCTGTCGCTTCTGCTTAATGCCCTCCTCGTCTAGCTGGTCATCGGGAATGTCGAGAAGAGGAAAGGTCGGCGGTTCCGCTTGCTCCTCTTCTACGTCGCCCAGGTCCTTGTTCCGAGCCTTCTTGATGGCAAATTCCAGCTCCTTTACCCGTTTGTTGAGCTGGTTCTCATCGTCAAAATCGTTCGACTCAAGAACACGTGCCTTTTCCTTCTTTGTGCTAATCTCCTCCAACTGTGCCTGTAGTTGTATGCACCACTCCAGCTCCTCCTCTTTCTTCTTTAGCTTCTCGAGACGCATCTTGGCAGCCTGAGCCTGTAGCCGGCGGCCACTCTCCTTGCGCTTCTCTGCTGCAGCTGCCAGCTCTTCCTCCGTCTTCTGCACCACAATCTGCTCTGTGTAGGGGAACTGGATTGTGTGGTCTCGGTCTTCAAGGCCCGTCCAGTCAAGGTAGTGGCTGAGCTCATTCTCATAGTCCTGCGATACGTAGCAGTGTTCTCGGACCAGATCCTCGGCCTGGTTGTCGCTAATCTTGCCAGGGAAAGTGGGATACTTTAGCCTCAGCAGCTTCAGCAGGTATTGTGCGGACTGGAAACGGCCCCAGTTGAGTCGTGTTGTTTGCGACAACAGAGGCTTCGAGTTGACGACGGGAATGACGTGTGTGGAGGTATACGAAGAGTCCATGACCAAGCCGCTGCGACCGCCATTGTAGCTGTAGGAGAAGAGCGAGTCGATACCGTATGCGACCGAGGGTGCGCCGTAGCACTCGAACAGGATCTCAGACATGGCTGTTGGATACATGGTTAGCGCAATGCCGGCACACGGCTCCTTATGCAGGCGCGCATACTCTTTCTTGAATAGCCCAGGTTGGCGATGGGCTCTGTCATGACAATGGGCCTGTCTACGCGCCCTTCGCGGCCATCGACGCCCATCTTGACAAAGCAATAGTCTAGCACACCCTCCATGACATCCCAGTTGTTGATGATGTTGCTGCCAGGCTCGTACACGGGCTTGGACTGTCCTCGTGCTGTGCCGTCGGCGTAGACATCTGCTCCGACAAAAGTAAAGGTTCGGTTGAGCTTGCGGTCGCGATACCTGGCCATGTTTGGAAGGACTGACAGTCGAGGTTTCGAGTCGAAAGACCATCCGGCGCGAACTGCGGAGGAGCCTGCGATGCGTCAGCTTGCACGCCGACGTCGGGGCAGCGAATGCGTGAGTAGTACCATTATCGATGACGATTGCCGTCTCGCTGTTGCTACGCGACCAGCCCTCCTTGTCGACGGGCTTGAAGCCCCCAAAGGGTGGCTCGGACACGCTCCATAGCTTGGGGGGAGGCTTGGGTGGATTGCGCCCAGCTGGTTGCGGCGCCTCGTCAATGGCCGAGGGAGCCATGGTGGATCGAGTTGGAGATGGGCTGGAGCTGCGAGTCGGGCGTCTAGATCATGTCGCGGCCTGGGCAATGTGGCGGGTGTGTATGGTTAGCGCGCGACATTGCGCATGTCATGTCTTGAGGCTCTAGGTAAGTACTGGTGCTCGGTGGTCCGGGCCCCTCTCCGCATGCATGCGACGGCATTGGGGGGGAACACGGCCTATGCTCCTTATGGTCCTGTGCAAAAGTCTTGTATTGTTCATGTCTCGTTACTCTGGTATCTAATCCATCCGGCTCTGCGCTTGCGCAATGCAAAATACGCGTCGCCTACTAAACCCATTCACTGTTTACCCAATGCCGAGCACCCAGTCCACAGATGCACAGGCTGCCACCACTGTCCCTCACGCAGGATCCTTGAGACCGTTTGTTGCTGGGGCTTGTCAGTGCATTCTCAGCATGCTGTGCAGAGAGTGTCGTGTATACCTTCAAGGTGGAAGAGCACATTGGACTGGTAGTTCTTGAACATCTGCGCCACCAGCTCCGTGTCCATGTTCTGGATGTTGATCTCTTGCAGATTCTTGTTCAGCATCATAATGGCCTCGTTGAGTTTCTCCTTTTTTGACCGTCAGACAAACATGGCCTCGTTGCGCGGCCGTGTGGGTAGACTCACTACGTTGACAATAATGCGCGAAAGCAGCTGGCTTTGCTGGTGTTCGTGAGGACTCTCCTACACTCAGGTCAGATATGCGGCTCATTCCCAGAGACATGTCGGGCCAGCTTACCATGTCTGCGACTGTCTGTTGTTGCGGTGGAATGCAGGCTGTCGGGCTGGTTGGTGGGGAGTATCAAAGCAGCTAGTGTGAGCGACGGGCATGCAGGTCCGTCGGGAGAGCTCCACCTCCGCAAGCTGCGTCTCCCAGCTCAGCCCAGCCATCGCCATCTGTACACACCCACAACACCTGCCTGTCTCTACTTGGAAACATAACCGCACATCCCAGGCCCGTTTCGCGAACAGTATCCACGCAACATCCACCCCAACCTCTCGGCGATTGACGCGACGAATCACCCAACAGACGCGACATAGCTCACAACATGGCGCCCTTGACGGCGGCTTCAGACGAAAAGACGCATCAGGCGCTCTTGGATAAGCTCGACATCTACGCCGTCCCCAAGCCCTTCCGAAGCCCCAACTGGAAACCACCGCAGCGCCGCAACAAGAACCTCAAGCAGATTCTCGGCGAAGCTTCACGAAAGGAAGCATCCGTCATGGCCACGCAGAACAACAGCGGCATGTCAACGCCTGCTGTGGGAAACGAAGGCACCACGCCAGCTGGCAACGCAGGTCGACAGCCGAATATCGCGCAGGCCGCACAAAGTCTGAGCACGTTGGTACTGGAGAAGAATGGCAGGGCGGCGGCAGGAGGGAACATGGCCGGTCCTGCGCCAACCTACACCAACATCGAGTCGGCGCCCAGCTTCCACCCAAGCAGCCAGAAGAAGTACTGCGACATTACCGGGCTGCCTGCACCGTACACAGATCCCAAGACGCGTCTGCGATACCACAACAAGGAAGTGTTTGGAAGCATCCGCACCATGCCACAGAATGCACCCGAAGGCTACCTTGCAGCAAGAGGCGCGCACACAATCTTGAAGTGAGGACTGGATTGGACGGTGCCGTCGTTACTGCGGCTCTATGCTCCGTGGAACTGCGTACAGTGCATCAGCCAAGCGCATCGCACGACTTGCTAGTAAATGGCGGGCTGGCTATGGAGAAAGTAGTATAACAGTGTTCCGCAGGGTTACATAGGCACTCTCACCAACGGTGCACACCCCCAAGATTAGTCAGGCTGGCCATGTTCCGCCCGGGGCCGGAACGGCATTGGCTGGCCTGCAGAGTATATGTATGATCATCAAAGTCAAGCTACTCTCCACCCACCACATGCCTCTCGGCTTATGGCTCAAGGAGGTGCTCCGGCTTAACCGTGATCCAGCATTCTTCTACGCCCATCAGACAGGATACCAGGACCTCGCGCGAGGACTCCTAGTTACAGCAGCTTGGAGCAGGCTGTTGTCAGGGCGGTGTCTACATATGATTGTGGTGTATTTGTAGCGCGGTATAGGCAGCGTAATCGAACAACACATTAATTGTCCCGGTGCCACATGCGTCTTGGGGTTGGGGGGTTGGGGTGAGGATGGTGCGGTCGAAGAAGATGCGACCAGAATTTTATGCCATTGCCCGCGGGAACAGGTGCGCTAGCAGGGGTAAGCTTCGGGTCGGCCGCTCGGTGGGCGCGCCGCGTCAACTCTCGCTGGGACACGAAACAGATATACCCAGGCTGACCAGCTCTAGGCCAGATATACCTTGAACATAGGCATCACTTTTTGCTGATTTGGTTTCTTGAGGCACCGCCCTACCGTTACTCCGTCTCCACCTTCCTCTCGCCCGCTGCAAGTCTCGCCCGACAAACATTCAAGATGCCGACCATGTGGCTTTCCGATACCCAAAGTAAGATGCGCAAACCGCCAGCCCTTGGCCTGCCTACTTGTTGGCGCGTTGCTAACGGGATGCGTAGAGATTGGGGTCGCCTTCTGTTCCGGGGGTAGGTATGCACACGAATGCGCCCTGCATGCGACGTGGGATTGACCCGATGACAGGCGGCCTCTTTCTGATGGGTGGTGTCATGATGTTTTTTGATCGCGCAATGTACGTATGCACCAGCCCTACACCCAGGCCCTGCTAACTTGTGTCTAAAGGCTGGCAATGGGCAACGTACGCTCCCATCCATGGCATTCCTCCCCCCAGCGCTTCTAACACACCCCAAACAGATACTCTTTATAATTGGCCTGACGCTTATCATCGGAACGACAAAAACGGTCGCCTTCTTTGCCCGCAAGCAAAAGTGGAAAGGCACCCTCGCCTTTGTCGCGGGCATATCGCTTATCCTCATGCGCTGGGCTTTTGTCGGTTTCGTAGTCGAGTTATACGGCATACTTGTTCTGTTCGGCGACTTTCTCGCAACCATTGCGGGCTTCGTGAGCAACGTACCGATAGTGGGACCGTACATTGCAAAGGGCCTGCAGGCGATAAGCGGAGCGACACGGAATTCCGATGTGCCTGTCTGAGGCACGTGGGCTATGAGGCATGAAACGAGAATGTACATGGCAAGGCGTTGGATCGCCAGGATGAGTTGGACTAGCACGAGTTCATGAAGGATGTTAGCATGGATAGGCGTTGGATTGGCTCGGACTATGCAGGATGGTATCTTTAAGTGTTCTTGCGGGAGGCTCATAGTGGCTGGGTGGCTTGAGTGGTAATAGTAAATAGCGTTAGCATGTTGGGATGGAGCCATGCATTACGACAATAGAGTGTTGGTTGTGAATTCTCATGCTCGAGAATGTCATGTCTAGCACTTCATGGTGGTGCATGATGCATGCTAGAAGATGCCTGGGAATACGATATGCTCACGTGCTTTCGCGTTCTCGCGTTTCCGAATTCCCCGCTCAGGGTCATGTTGTCTGTGTACTTTTGAACCAGACCCCCACCCCCACCCACTCTCCCAGCGCTACAATGTCTCGAAGTGCATCGCCATTTGTGCGTGCACCGACCGAAGAGGAGGGCTACAATTCCACACATCGTGCATTTCTCCAAGCCTTTCACACACATGGCGTCCTCACGGTAAACGAGATGAAGCCGATTCTAGCCCACATCATGACGGCATACAGTGCGTGTCCAAGATGCCCAACCCCATGGCATGCTAACAAGTCGACAAGACCCCAATCGGCCATGGACACAAGGCGACGTAACACCCGCCATGCTCAACACTATGATCCAAACCATCAACGGGCAGCTCGAGGCATTCGACTACGAGATCCGGTCGATGCGCGACCAGCAAAGCAAAGAGACCATGTACGCGCTCGTCAACAACACGAGCGACGCGCTCACGCAGTTTGCCACGACCTTCTCGGCCAACGAAATCGCCTACATCCGGCGGCTGCTCGACCACATGTTTGAAACAAACAACACCAGCGTGCGCGAAACAATGGCGGTCAAACATACCGAGGCGTCGCAGCTAGCGCGCGCATCGCGACGCAGCCGCCAGAGCCAGGGCGCGCTCCACCAGCATGACACGCAGGACTCGCAGCAGGCAGACACGAGCATCTCGATTGCAGACGCAGACATGGTGCTGGACCGCCTGGTCGCGCAGGCGTTTCTGCACAAGTCGCGCGCGGGGTACTACTCGCTTGCGCCGCGCGCTCTCATGGAACTGCGCGCCTATCTCAAGGAGACGTACAACGATGACGACGGCGGCGACGACGACGGCGATGACGCACATGCTGTGATTCGCATTCGCGACTGCGAGGGCTGCAGGGAAATCGTCACCTATGGTGTGCGGTGTAACAATCGCGAGTGCGGGGTGCGGTGGCACGATGCGTGTGCGAATAGCTATTACCGAGGGCGGAGGGACAGCGAGAGAAAGTGTCCTCGGTGTAAGACCGAGTGCACGGGAGATGTTTTTGTGGGCGAGAGGGCGGATACGATGGCGTCGAGGAAGAGTCAGGGTGGAAGAAGGGGTGTAGACGAAGAAGAAGAGGCGGAAGAGGAGGAGGAGGATGAATAAGATGAATATCAAGATACCCCCCGGTCAAGAATCAACTTGTTTACCAGACATTCATCATGATATTCCGTGGCCCTAAACCTGGTCCTTCAAGTCTTTCGAAATGAGTTTTCTGTATTACTTTTCAAAAAACGCCAGAACCCTCCCGTCTACATACATACATATACACACACACACGTCAAACGATTACATTTACTGTGCACCGTTCGTCTGGCCCTTGTTGGCTCGCCTCTCGGCAACAGCAGCAGCAAGGTTCTCCAGCGTGTCGACCGTCGTTTCCCAGTCGATGCAGGCGTCGGTGATGGAGACGCCCTTTTTCAGGCCAGAGGGGCCCTCGGGAGGAACCTTTTGGTTGCCCTCGTTGATGTTGGATTCAATCATTACGCCGACAATGCCTGTTTCGCCATTGCGGATTTGCTCAGCAATGTCCTTTGCTACAATGGGCTGGTTGCGGTGGTTCTTGTTGGAGTTTCCTGGTGAAGAGTCAGCCGACTGTCTTTTTCTCTCTGCATGTTGGAGCATGGGTCTCTGTAAACATACCGTGCGAGCAGTCGACCATCATGACCTCTGGCAGACCCTTATTCTTCAAGGCTTCACGGGCAGCCTTGATGCTGTCCTTGTCGTAGTTTGTGCCCTTGGATCCACCACGGAGAATGACGAAGCAGTGCTCGTTACCTGCGGTTCGGGTAATGGCAGCCAGACCCTGTTTGGTCACACCCATGAAGTGGTGCTTGGCGGCGGCGGCGCCAATAGCATCAACGGCCACGGTCAAGCCTCCATCGGTACCGTTCTTGAAGCCAATGGGGAAAGAAAGACCAGATGCCAGCTCTCGGTGCAGCTGGGATTCTGTTGTGCGGGCACCAATGGCACCGAGGGAGATGAGGTCTGCGAGGAACTGTGGGGAGATTGTGTCGAGCATCTCAGAGGCAATGGGCATGCCCGAAGAGGTGAGGTCGACGAACAGCTTGCGCGAGACCCTCAGGCCCTTGTTGATCTGGTAGCTCTCGTCAATGTCGGGGTCGTTGATCAGGCCCTTCCAGCCGACGGTTGTGCGTGGTTTCTCGAGGTAGGCGCGCATGATGATGCACAGGTTGTCTTGCAGCTTGTCGGCAAGGGCCTTGAGACGCTGGCAGTACTCAATGGCCAGCTCCGGGTCGTGGAGCGAACAGGGCCCGACCATGACGAGGAGGCGGTCATCCTTTTGTGTGATGATGCTGGCGGCGTCTTTGCGGCCCTGGAGGACAGTCTTTTCGGCGTGGGCGGGGATGGGGATCTCGGCGGCGAGGAGCTGGGGAGGGATCAGCGGGTCGTAGCCAAGGACTGTGTAGCCATGTTAGCGTGTGTGTGTTGGGCAGACGGCGCTGAAGGGGAGGCGTACCGCGCAGGTCGTCGCTGGGGCTGGAGGAGTCATTGGAGGCAGGCATGTTGACGGAGTGATCTGGTGTGGAGGCAGCCATTGTGTGTCGGGCGCTGGGATTTATATCAGCATGTGTGCAGGTTGAGGACAGCAGACAGTTTGGGCGGGCGGCATACAATGAATGCAACGTGCGGTGAGTCTGACTGTAGCTGAGGCAGGCAAAGGTGTAGACGAGTGAGGGCTGAGGTGGGGTGTTTTGCGCAGCCGCGGGCAATTGGCGCAATTGGCTCAGCTGGGGCACCAATGTATGCACAGGCGAGAGCAATGCAGAAGCAGACTCAGGTCCGACGTCGGCGGGTGTGGATGGGTGCATCCAGCGCAGCGCGCAGAGGCACAGAGAGCCAAATTATTCCTGTGCTGAAGCGGCGACTTTTTTTGGGGGCAGGGCCAGGCGTGGCGGGGCTGGGGCTGGAGGTTCCGTCTGACGCGCATTGCAGGCAGTTATCGATACTCCGCCCGGGCCTGCATGTCCGCCAAGCCGTGCTCCTGAGTGACAGACGAGCACACTCGCACTCCCACACTGATAGTCCCGCACTCCCCTCCATAGTCCGAGTAGGCGGGCGTCATGGAGCGGATGTCGGTAAACAGCCTAGGCGGCGAGGGCGTGTGCGAGGGGCGGTGGGGTAGCGTTGTCTGCTCATAGCACTGCAATGGCTCAGGGCCGGCGTGGTCGGCGGGCGCAGGTCGGGATTTCTGGGTATGGACATTAGTCAAGGCCGTTGATGGTTGTATATTGCATGGGCCGACATACTTTGGGATACCTGTCTAGGTCCCAATCAGAATCCGAGTCGACATCGCGTTCTCGCTTCCGGGCCGGGAGATGAAACATGGACATGTCGGGTCCAGAGTAAGCAATGGGTAGTCGAGTGGTGGTGGCGCGCGCAAGACGAGGTCGTGGAGGCGTAGACAGCAGCTTGGAGGAGTCGACGAGGCGGAGGAGGGGTATGTTAATGAGCAGCAGGCGCAGCAGCTCTCGAGCCTTGGAAAAGTGTTTTGAAGCAAGCAGGCGAGGGGCTGATACGGCTATCAGGGGGAGTTGCGGTGTTTCAGGTCGCATGAAAAGAACCCCGGTTTGTGGCGGTGGAGTCGGTGCCTTTCATGGCCTGGCGATCGGGTGGGGGAGGCCTGTTTGGTCGCCGGCAAGTTGAAGGGCCGCTGCCTGCATTGGCAGGCACGGTGCGGCAGCAGCGGTGCGAGGCGAGACGAGGCGATGCGACGCGCGAATCGTGTGGCGTAGCGGCGGCGCTGGCGGCTGGCGGGTGGTGGTTGGTTGCGAAGATGCTTGGTGAGGATGCGCGTGGGATGGATGCGTGCCCGAGTGAGGCCGACGGCCACACTGACACGGCACCATGGCATCACGTGGGCGCTGCCTAGAGCGCATGCGGTAGGCTGTTGCCGTGTAATCTGTGTCGTGTCTGCATCTGCAAGGTACAGGCGATGTTTTTCTAGTCTTGGGCCGGGCATTGCTGTGTGTCTATCTCTGTCCATACACAGCCACGCGGCCAGCTGAGTCGGCGCCCTCTCCAGCACCTAGCTACATATTATTGACCTACTAGTGCATATGTAGTCGTGCATACGAGCCGACGAGGCGTTGCGCCGTGGCGGAGAGGGGGAGATTGGGAGGGGGGGGGGTGAGGAGGGAGGAAGTGGGAGGAAGGCGGCGAGGCGGCGAGACGGCGAGAGGCTGCCAGGCACAGGGCTGCCAGTGTCAAACATCTTGGAGTCGCCAGACTCAATCGTCTGCATGTCAACAGAGTCGAGCAAGATGGACCACGACATGGACATGGACGACGACACCGACGTGCGCAGCCAGCCGCCCGAGTCACCCGCATTCAGTTCCTTTGCCCACTCGTTCATGCGCCCGCCCATGCTGCAGTCGTCCTTGTTCAACACAGATATGCCCAGCGCCCATGGCCGCATACCAACACCAATACATGCTTCGTTCAAGAGAGGAGGCATGAACGGCTTCGGCTATCCAATGAGTGGCTCAGCCGGCGCAATGGGTGTCAGCAACATGCACGTGCCCTCAATACATGCACCGCCACCGCTATGGAAAGCATCCAAGCAAGATAATGACGAGCGAAGCAGGCGCATGCCTTCACCCATCTCCGAAGACGAAGATATTCCCGACACTCCGACAGCCCTCACGCAATCGCAGCTCTCGCGACTAAGCGTATCGCAAGCTCACTCGGCAGACAACATGGATACCGATACACCACCCACTGCAGCCTCACCGAACACACCTCGTGGCAGGAAGCGAAGCGGTGCCATGACAGCAGGCATAGGCCGTTTCAGCATGGGCTATCGGGACGATTGCGAAAAGTGCCGACAGCGGGTCCCGGGCCACTACTCGCACTTTCTTCCATGAGGCACTTTTTTTTTCTTATATTAATTCCCTAAGCATCCTATCTTTCCCGCGTCATCCAGCATACGCTCTTTTTGTTCACGTACATGACGGGCTGTTTTTATTTTATTTGCGCGTTTGGCGCTCGGTGGCATTGTGGGCTTTCTTCGCACAGTATGCAACACGGTTTAGCTTGGCGCGGGTAACTCGTTTTCAATACTAGCATGGCGTTTGATCAAAGGCGGACAACCGGGTCTCCGGAACACTGGGGAACTAGCATCATGGGGGGAGGAGGAGGTCCTTTTTTTTCCCACGCAGCACAATGACGGCTTCTCTCGGTTATGGCGCGCAGGGCGCGTTTGTCGCATTCGTATCGGCATGTGCACATGACGTATTCATGATTCATTCTCTTGGACCTTGTACTCTGGCAACATGGTGATGGCAAATCACTCTGTGCTTGCAGCTCGTATGTACTGACGTGATGTAGGTAATTCTACCTTGGATACCCAATATGTATTATGACGTCTATCTCTGAACTTTGATCTCTCCATGTTGTGTGGATGCTTCTACGAGTGATTTTAACATATTAACAGCTGATTTTAATGACATTACACATGTATCTACATGTATCTTGTGGTATATCATATCAATTCCTCACCCACCTTTTCTCCTCCACCGTCTCACTATACCAAGCCATTGCTACCCTCATCCTTCTTTTCCCCTTTGGTCCTATTTTTAAGGCTCGACTAGACTGAACTAGACAGCTGAATAGGAATCTAAATTTACTTTTTTTTTGGGGGGGGGGGTTGTTCAAAGGAGAAACGAATGTGACAGGTTCTGATCTAAAATTATTTTCTTTTACCTTGAGTCAAGGCTAACAGTAGCATGTATGTACTAGTAGTAGTAGTAGTAGTAGCAGTAGTCTGAGTCTTTGGGGGGGGAGGGGAATGGGGTGAAACACAGGTGATACTCATGTTCTTGGTTGACTAGGTTTGTTTTGTTGATTTGCTAGTTTGGTTTGACAAAAAATATTATTTTTTTCTGGTTTAACAATACACTGTCTATGCTGTGGGTAATGTGCTTGTTATCCTTGGTACAAAGGGAAGGGGGGGGGAGAAGGCTAGGTAAGAAGCTAAAAGTGCGTTAGGATGATAGGATAGGTTAGTGTGGGTGTAGTGTAGAATAGTAGCATCTTTCATCTTCTTTGTTTGAAAAGTGTGTTTGGTGCAAGATTGGGTTTGGTTTGTGAGATGAGTCTGGGGAACAGAGAGAGAGAGACACACACACACATACATGTAGAATTATTTATTCCATCTACTTATGCACTCACGCCATACTGGGATTTAATCAACATATGCTCAGTCCATGTCAAAGTGCTACTGTACAACATGCCGACAAGACTCACGTCGAAGCATACACCCCTTTTCTTCTTCTCATGGTATATCAAATCTGGTGTTAATATGTAGCATCCAAGCGTTTATATTTCTCACGTACAGCGAGTAGTAAAACAAAGTAGAACAAAGTAGAACAACATATGTATACCGACGGCTAAAACGAACAGAAAAAAAAAGGAATGATACCAAACACGTATTCCTGCGTCATGCCTATTTCTAGAAGGCATGGAAGAAGAAGAAGAAGAAGAAGGAAGGGGAAGAGAAAAAGAAGAATGGAAAAGGGAAAGGAGAAATAAATTGCTCCAGCACGTTGAAGACAGGCGAAAAAGCAAAGAAAGAGATTTCCACAAGACTGAAAAAAAAAGATTTGAACAGCAAAGAGTAGGATTTGTCAGGGTCAAAACTATCTAATTATCATCACAACAATGACTTGCACGCATGCAACCAATCAATCAATCAACCAACCAACCATATCAAAACAAAAAAGCAAGGGCGGTATGCTAGGTTTCTTCCCCTCTCCCCCCCCCTTTCCCGATTCGAACAGTGTGCAATGTGCAATGTAGAGAAAGAAAAAAAGAAAGCAACAACATCATCATCATCAACAATAAACGCCCTGACACCCATCCCAATGCACATGTAACCCAACCCCCCCTTTCCCGGAAAATGTTATGTACTTTCTAACCAAGCAATGTAATGCATTAATGCAAGACAAGACAAGACAAAAAAAGAACAAGGGTAACAAGAGAACAAGTAAAAAGAAAACGCAGAAAGAAAAAAAAACGCCATCCCAATGAGCCTTTGCACCGGCCAAGATGCATGCGCCGCCCATTGCCCCGATTCCATGGTTATGTTGTTGTTGTTGATGTTGTGTTGTTGTCTTCATTAACAAATTCGTCTCTCATGTCCATATCATAATTGTGGGTAAAACTGTGTTTCCATCACACAAAGACATGGCTGGTGGTGCCGCGATCTACGCGGACTTTGGGTGTTGTTCGACGAGCCACTCCATGACGCTCTCGTAGCATAGCACAAACTGGCGCAGACTCTGCACCATGCTGAGGCGCTGCAGGCGGAAATCCTCTACCGTCTTGGCAATCAGATCAATCTCCTCGTTGTTCACCCAATCGTCGTCTTGTTCCTTGTTTGATGATTTGTCGTCTGTCGGCCTCGTCTGCCTCACGTAGAGAGCTTGTCGCTGTCGCTTAAGCATGTCCAGCACGGAATCCACGGTGCAGAAGGTGCCGGTACGGCCGCATCCGGCAGAGCAGTGTACGATGACTGGCCGTGTATTAGGCGGGTCGGGCTGCGACGGCGAACCACCGTTGACCGAGCGCACGACTGCATCAGTCTGCTCAATCAGACCCAAGAGATGTGTGGGATGGGCTGGTGCACCAAAATCAGGCCAATGAGAATATTGAAGCTGAGTAATCTCGCGCATACGCGCAAACGGCTCCTCGTCGTTGGAAAGCGTAAACTTGCGGACAGTCACATATGGCTGCTCCTGGTTTGTCGACGCTGCGGCAGTTGCTTCTTTGGCATATTGGGCAAGCCTTGGTGGGTTTGTTGACCTGCGCTGGCCCATTGTGGGTCTTGATTGTTCGCGGTGACGGTGGATCTTGGACGGCTCCAGCGATGCCTTGTGCTCGCTGATGCTGTTGAGGCGAAGATGTCCGTATTGCTTGTCCGACCAGTAGTTGTGCGCCTTGAGTTGTCCGCCTTCTTTCTCAGCGGTAAGCATGACGATGACGCGAACATCCTGCTGCCATACCACGTTCCAAAAGTCCTAAAGCAATCAGTAAGCTCTCGTGGCTTGTACAATTGTTAGCAGGCGACTTACTTTGAAGGTAGCCGGGATGGGACCCTGCGTGGCAATGTAACGCTTGTTTGAATATGCAGCTTGGACATAGTTGGCGTTGACATAATCGCAGCCTCCCTCTGCTACTCCTTGAAGCTTGACGCGCGTGTGTTCGTATGGCCAGATGTTGTTGTAGCGGTTCTTTGACCCCTTTTCGATACCCGCAATCTGAATATGTTCAGACGGGCTCATTCCTGACGACGATGGGGCGTCATAGACGACTTCGCCAGACAGTGCCTTTTGCATGCGCTTCTGCTCCCGCTTTTCAATCTGCAGGAAACGCTCGGCTACCGTCTTGCCCTTGTCTTGCGGCCTCGAGGCGGCCTGGAGCCACTTTGGAAGGTCTTCTTGAACAGACTGCGTCATGCCGGCAGGCAGCTTCAGGGGCATCTGGCCGACGCCGCCAATGAGGTCCATGTTTTGGCGAATGTTGCCAAAGAAGGGATTTGCTGCATTCTGTGTTGCGGGCATGGGGCAGCCACCGATGACAGGCGCAACAGACGGTAGATCAGAATTGAGGCTAAGGGCAGCCGTGCCAGACGTGGGGCTTCCTGAGCCTTGGGATGAGATCCACGATGGGAATTTTGCCGAGAATTCCTGGAAACCTCCGCGGATGATGTATGTGGCGCCTGTCCATCCCTCGTTTGTGAACTTTTTGAGTGTGTTGATGCAAGCCGTTGCATCCTTGAGTTGCGAGGAACTGGCGTCGTACACGATGATGTATTTGCTGCTTCGCCAGCGCTCGAATCTTTCCCTCTGCTCGTCTTCCTTGAACGTCTCGGCAAGCTTCTGGACGTTGAACGATGCACGCTTGAGCAGGGTCGTGGGGATGCATAAACTCAGCGCGCCGGTTATGCGGGCCTTTGCATATTGTGTGGAGACGCGTAGATCCAGCAAGAGGACTTCTTCGACCGAGGACTGTAATATGTTGAGCACGTGCTGGGGCGTCACCATGGCAGGGCCTTCGTGGCCCGTCTCTTCGTCAAAGTTTGCGGGCAGTGTCTCGGCACGATTCGACTTTGAAAAGTGCAGCGTGTGCGAGTGTTTGGGAGGCAACGAGGGCCGTGGCATGCGCGGCTCAGCGAATTGTGCTACGGCATCCGAGCGTCCAGGACCGTCAAAACTGGCTGGCGAATTGCGGCGCGGTCGGTCAGGGAACAGGGACGACTCGTCGGACAACATGCGCTTGGGCGAGCGCGGCTTGGGTGACAAATCTTGGTCGTCGCTGGTGTCGCTCTTGTCCGAGGGGTCGCGTGGATGCATTGACTGTGTGAAATCAATGTTTTTGAAGAAGGGACTCCTAGACACTGCCTTGAGACCGGGCGACGCGAAATCAAAGCTGCCGAGGGCAAAGGACCGGTTGTTTTCCGACTGTTTCTTGAACTGCTCGAATTCGGGGTTCTGCTCGACAGGTATGATCCTCGGGGAGGCGGCGGCGGCGGAGCGCACATTGGAATTGGGAGGACTCCAATTGCCGCGGATGTGCTGGGCAGCGCTGGACGAGAAATGGTCGGTGTTGCCTATGGCAAGGCCAAAGTAGTTGGGCGAGGGGGTCGAGGGTTCTTTTGGCTTTTGCGACGCCACATGGCTGGGGGTCTTTGCTACTCCATTCATGCGGGGAGTGAGGGGAGGGAGGGCATTGGTCGGGTGTAGAGAGTTAGTTGGTCTTGTCATTGGCGTCGATCCCGAGCCCCGTGGGCGAGAAGAGGTGTGTGAAGAACCGCGCGGGCGTGGAGATAGGACAGGTGTGGACATTGCGTGGGGGGGGGGACGTGCGCCCGCGTCAGAGCGAAGCGTGGACGTGGTCGAAGGTAAGAAAACAAAAAAAACAAAGGAACAACAGCAACTGCAGGTCAGGCTAGAGTAGGGACGAGGTACATGAATATGGGGAGGGGTTAAAACAGCGACGGCCGGAATAGTCGAGAGGGAGTGTGTGTGGATGCGGGTGTGGGTGTGCGCGAGAGACGCTGGAGTGGTTGGTGCTAAGGGGTCGTGGGTTGGTGGGGATTGCCGTTATGACGTAGGCAGGGGCCAAGTGTGAGGCGATGTTCTCTTTTTGCAGAGAGCGCGCGCGCACGCACACACACACACACACACGCACACAGGCGCGCACACGCAGGCGACGAGGTGCAGGTACAACAACCACCCCGGCTCGGTGAACGGCTGGAGCGTGCCGTTGCAAAAGGGCCTTTTTTTTTATCTTGCTGTAATGAAGCCGACGCAGTGGTGACAGCGGGCCAGGAACAATGGTGAGGGGAGGGGAGGGGAGGGGCGAGATGAGGTGACACGGCGGCAGTGTCAATTACGATGTAGCGCGGCAGCCCGTGGGGGGTGGCGGCAGCGTGTGGCTCTGGTGGCAGGCGCAGTAGCTGAAGCTGAAGCTGCAGGGACTGACGAGAGGCAGCAGAGGGACGTGCCGATGGCTGGGCTGGGCTGGATGGGGGTGCGGTGCGGTGCGGTGCGGTGCCTTGGGGTGCGGTGCCTGGAATAGCGACGGGTCCCGTGACGGACGAGAAGGGTAGGGCTGACAAAACCAAAACAGCCGAAGAGGCGGCAGGCAGCGGCGGAGACAGGAGACAGGAGGCAGCGGCGCGCAGCAACGGGGGCTTGGGGCGGCGAGATCGAGGATGCAAGGAGAGATCAAGAGGGAGAGGGAGGGAGCGAGGTATCGGCGATCGAGCATCTTAAGGGCCATCGAGGAAAAGTGGCAGTTTCCAAGGCACGGCGAGGGGGGGCTAGCCTGGGCCGACAATGGCCATGCGAGAGGGCCGCCTTGTCAGCTGTGTGTGTCTCTGGCCATGGCCAAACGGGGCCCCTGTCCTGTCTATTGCGACATTGCCCATGTTAGTGCCAGTGCCAGCAACGGCCTGCTCGACGCCACCAGCTGCCCTCATGCCACACACGGTACACCTACATCCGCCTACGCCCAGTATACACGCCTCGCATGTCGCTGTCGCTGTCGCTGCACACGTCGACGCACTGCTCCCACGACGCCGCGCGGCGGGGGGGGGGGCGTTGGGAGCGTCTGGCGCGCGCGGGCGAGGGCGAGGGCGGGTACGCGTTTGAGGGGCATGGCTGGCCGATGACGATGACGGCAAAAGGCGAGGAGGGCACATGGGCAGATGACCAGGCGTGCGGGCGGCTGCTGTGGCGCGTGCTTGTCCTGCCCTGTGGCTGCACTGCACCGCACCGCACCGCACCACACCACACCACCACCGCCGCCGCCGCCTACTAATACGTCTGCGCCTACTCCTAATACACATGGAGTAGTAATAGACGCCTCCACCACTCCACCACTCCACCACTCCCACTCCACCATCACCATCACCACCACCACCACCACCACCACCAAGCCGCCTGCTGCACGGCGCTCGGACGGCCGATCAACCCTGAGCGGCCCCGAGCGCCGTGCAGTCTGCATCTGCATCTGCATCCATCTGCACTCTGCACTCACTCTGCACCCACTCTGCAACTCGCCCACTGCCCGCTGCCCACGGCCTGCTGCTACGCACTCTAGCTCTCCTCCTACCACGACTACTGCTACACTGGGCTGTATCCAGCAGGCATGCCGTCGCCTGCGCGCGAATACGGCAGGTGGGGACACGAGGCTATCAATGACATAGCTCAGTGCGGAGCCCTCGCAAGCCCGCAACCAGGCCTTGGACCGGCGATCTCGCCTCAACCGCCCTTGTCGCCCCTCTGGCCAGAACACCTACCACGCTCTTTTCTCTCGCACTCCCACAGCCAGACCGCCAGTTCACCGCGCCGGAAACGTCACCCGCCAATCGCACACAGGCCTTTCCCTACAACCATCGCCCTGGTTGCCACCATTGCTCTTCGGCCCGCCCCTGCTCTTCCTTCTCTTGCCCCCCCTCCCCTCCAGTGTGAACTGCTCCGTGTACAGTAGCATGTCTTACAACTATACACCTACCTCGACGCTGCCACTCCCCGCCTCGCCCCCCAACCACGCGTCCTGTGCGTCGTCCGCCTGCCACAGAAAAAAAAAAGAATCCTGACGACACGACCAAAAAACAAGTACTAAACAAGGCCGCCATGTGTCCTCCAACAAGGCTATCACTCCTACACATAGCACCTTGTCAGGCTGTCAGGTTACCATTGCCTGTCCCAAACCACGGTCGACTCGGTCAAAATCACCGAAAGCCCGCGCGTGACCGCTTCAACTCCTCGACAACTTGACACGGCAGCGGTGCACCAGCACTCGGTGCCTTGTTTTGCGTCATGAAAGAAAAAAAAACGGCTCTCGGCATGGCTAGCTTCCCAAGGCTTTTGCATTCTACACGCCCTGGCATTCGGCACATGTGCTATTCCGAAACCTCTCAGACACCCACTGTTTGCACCGCACGCTGACCTGCCTCAGTCACCGGCCTTTTCTGGTCCCGCCGTAGCGCTACCGGCATTCTGGTACACGCCTTATCATCATGACCCAGCACCCACCCACCCACGCCCTTACTCCAATAAGCATAGTGTGCACAAGCATGCAAACATGGCTCCATAACCCTATATCTACACTACACTACATACACTCATGATACTACTGACCACAAACAAGATGATGTAAAAACTAAAAGGCCAAACCCAGAAACGCCGGGATATAATGCTTCCCTTTGCGCCTGTCATGATAACAAAAAAATTCAAACAACAAAAGCATCCATCCACTACCTCTCAACCGCCTGAGCGCAACCTCATACATACACCGCTACATTTCCATCCTTTCCGTTACCGGCCCTTCTGAACTTGTTTTGCTGTGCTTCTTCGACTCGTAGCAGATGAGGCCAAAGAAACCTTCCGACGTGCAAGACGTGCTGCTCGACGTGGGCATCGGCGTCGGCTTTGACTTGGAGTGATCATGTGTCTTGCTGGGTGGGTCATCGCCGTCCAGGCATCCGCCAAACCACCCCGGATACCTGCACGACGACGTTGGCGTGGGCAAAGACGACGTCGTCGTCGTCACCGTGGGTGCTGGCGCCGCCGTCGCCGACGTATAGGTCATGCTTGTCCGCGTCGTCGTCTCATCCTTGCAGCCAAACCAGCCAGGCGTTTTACACGTCGACGTCGTCGACGTCGTCGTCACTGTCGTTTTGCCATGTGACTTTGTCGTCGTCGTCGTCTCGTCGAGACATCCCCACCAGCCCGGGGTCTTGCATGTTTCCGTCCTCGTGCGAGTGGTACTGCTTGACCATGACGTCGTCGTAGGGCTGGAGCTCGTCGTCGTTTCGGTGCCGTTGCTCTCAAAGTATTCCCACGTATAGCAGTCGGTGCAGTCGACATAGGGCTCGCATTTCGGAGGCGCGTCGTACTTCAAGATGACATCTCGGATCACTTCGACAATCTTGTGTGTGCCAATGCCCACGCGCCACCCAAAGTCTTTGACTGTATCGTACACACACTTGTGCCCCGTGTGGCAGACGCTCTGCAGAGCATATCCCCCAATCGTGCACACACTAGTAGCAGCATTGCACGTTCCCATATAGATTGGGTCTGCGGTATGTCCAAAGTGAAAGCCGCCAGTATACTTGCGCTGCTGCATCGACCCTATCTGATGGCCCGACGGTACGGGGAGGCCCAGGCGCGACGCGGGCATGGCTTCTGGCACCGCCTCAAACGTGACGGCCGGATGTCCAAAGGTCAGAGAGAGGAACGAAGACACGGCGCCACCAAGAGAATGACCCGCCATCCACACCTCGGCGTTCGGGTACAAGGCCGTGACATTGTGGTACAGGTCTAGCGCGGCGTAGTAGTAACGGTTCTTGTCGCGAAGCGCACTAACCACCGACAAGGAGCTTTCGCTGCGACACGTTTTCCACCGTGGCACATACAAGTACCCCGCTTTGCACAGACGACTCGATGTTGCCGGGCAGGCGGCAGTATCGATGGCCGACGGCGAGCCGGTGCCGCGGCTGCGCGTCAAGTCGGAGGCCATGACGATTCAGAGGCTGGCGGACAGAAGCAAAGAGACGATTGACGGCATACTCGAATGGGGCAGAATGACGGGGAGGCCCGTACAGCTCGCCGACGACGACTGGACCATGGACGAGATTGCGGGGCCCAATGTGACGGATCAAGAGACGGTCCTCAGCTTTGCGCGCATGGCCTCGGACGCCTATATACTCGAGCCCGACACGGGAGAATGGGAGGACGTAGGCGGCGGGTTCAACTACACCGAAGACTTTGGCTGGGAGGCCGACGGCCTGCGAGGGCACATCTTTGCCGATACGGAGAACTCGACCATTGTCATCGGGCTCAAAGGCACCTCGCCTGCCATGTTTGACGGGTCCGAGACGACGACCAACGACAAGATCAACGACAACCTGTTCTTCAGCTGCTGCTGCGGACAAGGCGGGCAGTACCTGTGGCGCCAAGTGTGCGACTGCCAGACATCGGCCTACACGTGCAATTCAACCTGCCTTGTGTGGGTGCTGGGCGGAAGTGACGGTGGCGGCGGCAGGACGGGGGTGTCTATGGCACTACCGATGCCTGCAGCGAGCAACGAGAGCAGCAGCCGTCGTGGGCGCATGGCGTGTGAGCGTGTGGCTGGGCGAGCAGTTGGAAAGCGTGTCTTGTGATTCCAGAGAAGAAAGCAGAGGGAGACGCGCAGTAGTTTCAAGCAGGGAGCGATGGCGCCCTTGTATGCACGCCTCCATGACGATCGGTGGTTCACTTAACCCCAGACGCGCCGCTGGTGGCCGCCACTTGCACGTGCGGAGCCTGCTGCCACTGCGGGGAGCTTCCCACGGCGCCGGGTGCTTGGGCTTGGTGAAGCTCCCGGGAGCTGTGCATCGCCATTGCACGCCAATCATAATACCCAAGCCACGCATTGCTGCATCCAGCCACTAGACCAATTCCCCGGCACTTTGCATACTCTCGTCGGCCTTGTCTCACCTCCACATACGCGACGCCCGGTGCTTGTCGGAAGTGCCGCTGCATGACGTGAGCGAATGTGCGTGACGTCGGTTTCAGCATCTTTCCTTTCGATGCACGCACACGGCCTTGAGCGACTCCCCTGAGCCATTTTTACCAGACCAGCACCATGGCCGACCGCCCGAGAAACCTGCATCCTTCACGCTCCTTCACCCGCCTCGAAGCCACCACCACCAGCCCGCTGTCACGAAGTCGCGCGAGTACACTGCAAGGCTCCAACCCCACCGACATGCTGGACCCGCTCAAGGCGTCCATGGTGCCAGAGGAGGACGAGAACATGGATGGCGACGTCTTTGCAAAGAAGCGGGAGGATGGCCAAGATGGCAACCACGAGCTCCGGGCGCCCGACACATTCGAGGAGCTGCCCATCGAGATTCGCAGCTTGACCGAGAGGTACTTGTCGACACCTATGCACTTTTGACAGGCTTCTGACAGGCAATTAGGTTTCTCGATTCCCTGACGGCCAAGGTACACCCCACGCCGCTATCCGCCGATGCCCTCGGTGAGCTTTTTCAGGAGTTCTACGGCAGGGCCTCTTCCAAGATCAATACACACATCGCGACACTCTCTGCTCGCCTTACAAGTGAATCGTTTGTCGCAAACGCGAAGAAGGGGTCTGCCCCCTCCAGTAAGCCCGGTTCGATACGGAAAGGAAGCGACCCGTCCGCCGAGCAGCAAATGCTCAGCGCGACGGAGATGGCAGACCGGAAGAAGGCCAGGAGAGCTCTTGAGGTCAAGCGGCTGGCTCTCGAGGAGGCTGTTGAGCGAGCAGTGTGTGAAAAAGTATACGATAGAATATGGCGGCACAGGAGCACCGACGACGAGGAGAGGGATCACAAGCTCCGGTCGCGGACAGCAGCTCTCTCGCTGGTCGGGATTGGCCTGCAAGAGCTGCTGATGACGGGCGAAGAATTGACAGAGGAAGAGCGCCAAAAAGCAAAGGAGAAGGAGCCCGAGATTCGCGAGTACCTGTCTGCAGCGCGCGAAGACTTGCTCAAGATGAACGACGAAAAATACCCCCTTGGCAAAGTACAGCATCTCGCGGCTACGCACAAGTCGATTGTCGAGGCTCTGTCCAAGATCTTCCCTGCCACGTCGTCTGCCGACGAGATCCTGCCCACGCTCATATATGCCCTCATCACGCTGCCCCCTGTTCATTTGAACGTGATAAGCGACCTGAACTTTATCCACCGCTTCCGCGCTTCTAGTCGCATGGATGGCGAGACTGCATACTGTCTGGTCAACTTGGAAGCGGCCATCTCGTTCCTGGAAACGGTCGATCTTTCCTCGCTACGGTCAGAAGAGGGCGTCTCTTCAAAGTTTGAATCGCGACCTGAAACACCCAAATCGGAGATTACGCCCATGTCGCTGGGCCTGTCCGATGCCCCAGATCTCATCCAAACACCCGCCACACCAATCACAAGGGCCACACAAAAAGAACCATCAAGCCCAACAACGACCAAGGCCCAGCGCCGTTTGAGCAATCTCATCCAGACACAAACCAACAAAATTGAAGCTGCCTCTGATGCCGTCCGCGAGTCCATTCTAGACTCTGCTGATCAGGCTCTGGGGAGAATCAACACCACGCTAGATACCAGTTTCAGGTTCTTCTTTGGTGGTCTAAAGGAAAAGAACCCTGACAATCCTCTGCAAGATCCGCCAGTCCTGCCCAAGACGCTCGAAGATGCCAGAAAGCTTGTCAATTCCCCCACTCGTGCCGAGCACGATGATGAAAACCTGAGTAATAGCGGCGCAAGTTCGATTCAAGGCGACGAGCCATCCGAGAACGCCAGCGGCAGAGGGCTAGACGCGAGAATGGCGGATCTGTTTGGTGGCAAAAGACCAATCAGAGACCGCAGTGTCGATTCAACAAAGTCAGGAGGCAGCAACAGTGGGCGGCGAGTTACTTTTACATCAACACCAAATGCCGAAGACAAGACGCCGTCGCCTACACCAGTCAAGACAGAACCTCCGCCCCCACCAAGCAACACATCTGCCGTCGACTCTCTCCGCAATATGGGCAACAACTTCAACCCCTTGAACCGCTTTCCTAGTATGAGTATGCTTCCTCGCTTCGCACGCGCCGTGAGCAGCAGCAGCACGCCTGCTCTTCCTTCACCAGGCCAAGACGCGGCCAAGACAAGCCCGTCACCTGAACCGCTCAGTCGAACAAACACTGCGGAAATGGCACAGCCAGATGAAAAGGGTGCAAGGGCAATTGCTGCATTGGAGCAGCTGAAAAAGACGCCGGCTCCTATCAAGCGCTTTCTTGAAGCAAAAGACGCACAAGATCTTAAATTGAAGGAGATAGATGATTTGCTCAAGGAGTACCAGAGACTGGCTGCGGCAATGAGGACGGCAATCAACAATTAAGTATCGTCTGCTATCGCCTTTGCCATGTATCTAGCCGCAGAATGCTGTACCAGCCAGATGCCAACCACGTATAGACATGTTGACTTTTGTTTTTGAGCCTAGGCGGAGTTGTAAGAGGAGGCGCATGTATTCGCTTTTTAGCCAGCTAGACTTTTGCGTCAACACGCTATCATTTCTTGCCAGTAAATTCAATGTGTGCCACATGTCTCTGCGTGCGTGAATGTAGTGTAGTAATAGCCAAGTCACGTCGGCCAAACCGGGGGTTACTTCTTTGGGCAGGACAACAGCGTGCACGGACGTGTAAACAAGCACAACACAAACAGCAACTCTTCCATGTGCTCTGCACCGTTGCACTAACCCCTTAGCCTCGACAACCGCCAGTTGCAGTCATGACAGAACCAATGTCGACGCTCTCACCGGAGAAGCCCAATACCCATTCCGACTCCATAGTCATTGACGACGATGTCGACATGGCATTCCACGACACGCCCTCTTCGCCATTCGACCCGCACATCACGATTGATGACCGGGAAAACGTTGCGCCAGGTTCGGCATCTACACCTGTCAAGTCGCTGGTCGACTTGGACGCCAATGTCCCCCAGTCGGCATCCAAGGTCTCGCCAGACAAAAAATCGGTGCTCCGAGAGCGCACAAGCCCAGTGCGGACATCGCCGGTGAAAAACCTCATGGATGACTTTGAAGGAGTGGCGCGCAGAAGCAGCATTGGGACACCCAGGAAAAGTCCTTCTCCCACAAAGGAAGTGACTGCAGATACACCTGGGTCGGCAAAGAGCACTCTCACCCGCAAAAGCCGGTCGCCCTCGAAATCGGTCCACGCCTCTACAGCCGAACCGCTCCCGCGCAAGATGTCATTGGCAGACCAGGTCCCCGAGATATCAGTCACACCATCCAAACGGCCGGCTTCTTCGCCGCTCAAGGCGCGCGAGTTACGCGACAATGAAGGCTTGACCGCCGCTATGAACTTTATGGAGACACATAGGGAACACCACGAGAACCTTGACAGGTCAAGTTTCCAGGATCACGATTTCGACCTTGACACTGGTCTGGACGGCACAGACATGCATCCAGATGGACCGGATGCCACGTCGGATATTGACGACACCTGCTTTAGCACCTTTTCCGAGATGCCAGGCATAGATATGACCAAATTTGCGTCTCTCAGGCAGAGTCCGTCCAGGGACGCAGCGCTGGATGTAAGCATACATCATAAGGCTTGCCGAGACAATGCTAACACATATAGGCCACGCCTCGCCCTCGCGCCCAAATGACACCTTCCACAGTCCGTCGTACCGACGGCACACCTAGCCCTACACCACGCCGGACATACAAGGAAAATGACACTACCAATCTACTTCTGGACTTTACCGCCCAGATTGAGTCGTTTTCGACGTCCCGAGGCTCCTCTTCTGGTCGCGGGCAAACGTCGCCCAGCAAATCTAGCAAGGATTCAACTCTGCAGTCCTACTACCAAAATCAACGCTCACCTGCCAAGGGAGGAGCAAATGTGCCTTCTACACCAAGTCAAAGCCGTCAAATGCTCAACCTTCTGGATTTTGAGCTGCCTCCCCCACCAACACCCCGATCCCTGCCTACCGTGACTATCAGGGAACTGGAGTCTGTCAAGTCCCAATTTCAATCACAAATTTCGTCACTCACTGCCAGCTTGTCTGGAAAGGAGGCCGAGATTGAGGCGCTGTCTAGGGCTATCGCGGATGCTGAGCGCCGCGTTGGTGAAGCGCAGGAAACCGTGCGTGAGGAGCGTTCAGCTCGTGAGTACGCAGAGTCACAAATGGTGGACTGGAAGTCAAAGGGCGAGGAGGTTCAGAGGCTGCTACAGGATGTCCAGGCTGAAATGGCTCGCAACGACGCTGAACGCGAAGAAATGTATGCCAGATTGGCCGAAGCTGAGAAGCGTGCTGAAGATGCCGAGAACCGATCATCGGATCTCGAAACAAAGCTCATCGAAGCTGAGAGCAAGAACGTCGATATGACGACTTTCATCAGCAACGATGAGGGAGGGGAGAATAAGAAGATCTACTCTGAACTCGAATGCCAGGCTGCCATTGCCGAAAAGGTCAACGAAGTTGCACGCGATCTTCACACGGCTTACAAGGCCAAGCATGAGAAGAAGATTAAAGCGCTCAAGGACAACTATCAGAGAAAGGCCGATGAGCGGTGCAAGGAACTCAAACAGCAGATTGTCAGCCTTGAGCGACAAGTGGAAGAGGCAGAGAAGAAGCGCGACACCAAGACCAATACCGGGGAGCAAGATGCAGGAGACAATCAAGGAACGCCGCTCTCCAAGTCTACCCGGAACGCTGAAGATGCGCAGATGCTCGAAGCACAGAGGGCTGAGATTGAGAACCTCAAGGCCAAACTTGCTGGTCTGCAGTCCGAGCTCCAGTCTCTACGCAAGTCACATGATGCTCTTGTGGAAGATCTCGAGGCAGAGCGCATAGAAAAGGGAGAGCTGGTAGCGGCGGCTGAGCAGATGCTGTCCATGTGCGGCGAGAAGATGGAGGAAATGCAACAAGAAGATTTTCGTCGCTCACAGATGAGCTCTACGCCACCTGCTGCACAGCAGGAGGAGCAACAGCCGCAGCAACAGCAACAAGCAGTGTCTCATAAGCCAGCGCCTCCGCAGCATCAGGCCATGCGCAACACGGGATTTCTTGCTGGTGCTCCTCCACGGCCAGGGTCTTCTCTCGGAGGTGGGCGTCCAGGAAGCGCCATGGGCGAGCGTATCGGAGCCATGAACGAGCGCGGCGGCAGCACTAACAGTGGGGTCAGCAAGCCGTCTGGCCTCCGAGCACCGGGCGGTCTCAAGTTCCAAGGGACTCCTGGCCTGAACCGCAGCACAAGTGGCAGCAAGAGCCGCTTGATGTCGAATATCGAGCGCATGGGTGGCGGCAAGTCGCAGCAGGAGTAGAATGCCTGGCGGCCTATTGTACATGGACTGGATGGGTTTGGGTACGGGGGTGTTGGTCGGTTTTTGCGGGTCCGTCGGCTGGGCATGGATACAAAAACGGATGGTTCTGGGACGGGGGCTTAGATGCAGCATACGAAAATCATGTGGGTTGCGTGATGATGGACGCGGAGTTGTTGTTGCTGGGACATGTTGGCATGTGTGTATCTTTTCTATTGGCGTTGAAGGAAGTGCATTCATTCGACGCTGTTGAATATGAATCGGGACGTGCCTGAGTAGGGTATCAGTGCTTCATGTATTTCTTCGGGGTGGCTGCTTGTTGCTTGTTGTTGGTCTTGTGTCGACGTACAATTTCTCGTTGATGAGAAACCGGCACTTTTCTTCTTATTCACCTATCTATGCTCTCGTTGTTTTAATGTTTAAGAAGAAGGCTTGATTTGCGTCTTACGTCACTTTCTTATCTCACTTGACGGGACTTGAGCATATTTAAGATGTATCCACATGTATGTTGTGATGCTCACAGTCACGTATACAAGAGTCTTATCTACGTGGTTTATCGTATCAAAAGGGTCCAGACTATGTATGTATGTATGTATGGATGGATGGATATATACATGCATACCCTTACTTACACGATATGTACCTTAAGTACCACTTACTTGCTGCTTACACTATTATGTACTCACATTTATCCCTTCCACATGTACTTAGTCTCTACTCTCCACCACTACTAATATTAGCAGCGTGTTATGGAAATGCACAAAGTGCTCCACCAGCCAGCCAGCCATGAAAAATCACCTCATACATAGAACAAACATTGTGTTATGTTATGTCATTGTCGTGTTGCGGGTGGTCAAGGCTGAATCTGTAACACAGGGTCCTTTTTTTTTATTCTCTCTCTGTCTCTCTGTGTGTTTTGTGCGAAAAAGGGTCTACCTTGGCTTACTGTGTGGGTAGATGGGGGGGGGGTAAAGGAAGTAGGGATAGCCATGTAAATAATGCATGTGTGTGTGTGGAGTGGAGTGGCCAAACCTTAAAGCCATGATAACGTGATGATGATGGGAAGACAGGATTGACGCAATCTTGTCATAGTGAGACTTGGAATTGAGTTTTGAGCTTTCCGTTTGTACCGTGTTCTTATGTCATTGTCTGGTAATGAATGGTCATCTACCCATGTATGCTGTGCTGTGCTGTGCTGTGCAGTGCACTTGTATATCCGTACACTCTGCTACACTACGCCCCGCCCCGCGCCCGTCCATGCAAGGCCCCACCCCGCCGTCACAGTGGGGACTGACAGTAATAGCATGAGACATACATGGCTGAGGCGAGTCGACAACAGCGGGGTGGCGGGGTGGGGGAGTTATCATTATAGCAAAGGATGGGATTAGAACGCGTGGCACGTTCGAGGTGGGGGAGGGGACGCGTATAGCTCGCAGCGAGCCAAGACATGCGTGTGTAGAGAGAGCGTCGGGAATGGCATTCAGTGACACTTTTGCCGTCACAGGCCAAGTATGGGGAAAGCTGCCATGTGTGCATGTTACAGCGAGGCGTTTTGTTCTGTGTGATTTGCCCGTTTGGGCGTTTGTACAGGTGCTAGCTGTAACTGGAGACACTGGCTTGTTCAACAAAGCTTATTAGAGGAGCCTGCCAGCCTTGTTTTATTTATTTTTTTCTCCGACCTGCTAGTGGGGAAACGGGGAAGGGGGGAAGCGGGTGACGAGACAGATAAGCAGACAGGGTAAGCTTTGGTATTCGACGATACGAAAAGTCGGAGTGGAGTGTCTGGGTGTTTTCAATCTCAAACAGCATGCCTGTCTTTGTAGGGCACAACAGCTGAGGACAAGGGGAAAGCATCGACCCATACTTTGGGCAGTCGGGCCGGATCACGTGTGCGGCAAGTGATTGTAGCAGAGTTTCTGGCTTGCTGGGATGCTCACACGTCTTGTAACTGCAGATCTTGATTCGACGGTGGTATCCCTGGAGAGGCGCGGACCCGATGACTCGGTAGCAGGTGGGGGATTCGCGGCAAGCCGGGTGGTCACGCAATCGTTATCGATGCTTCTGATAGCGGCGGCGACATACGAGTGCAATCAGACTGGATACGGCGCATTGCTTGCGTGGTAAGATATATGCCGAGCCACGGTTGATGCATTCGGGACAAGAGGCCATGATACGTCATGGGTGAGGGTGGTTGGCGTTAGATACGCATATGCTACTTGTTAGGTATCGCAGGCCAGGTGGTAAATATGCAAATTTGACGTCAATTGCAGAGCTCAGGATGACCCTATTCCCGTGCTGCCGTGTACCCCAGGCTTCCATCCAAGGCCCATTTAGAATAAATCACAAACAATTTCAAACAGCAAATAGGCGCAAGGGCAGAAGATGTAGGGAACCAACCTCATGATCGTCGGTAGGGGTCCTGTAACTCTAGCCTCATCATGATCTTGTTTCACGTGGTCAGCCGAAATTTGGAGCTCATCTCCCGACAGCTGTGGGGAAGATGGGCGTAATTTTTGATCAGCCGAAGGAATGCATCTAGAAGCGCTGGGTCTTTTTGCAAAATTTGATACGGCAATTTCTCGGTCGCCGTTGGGCAAGGCCAGACAGAGTCGGGGGGCGGTATCTCATATGGCAGCTGGCAGCTGGCTCCGACAAACGGCCCTGGGCGTGGGCGGGGAGAGGCGGGGGTAGTGGCGGGAGGGAGTGAGCAAGGTGAGAGTAGGGAGCTCGAGCATTGTCTTATTTTGGCGTGTTGAGTCTTGAGGGCGTTTGTGAGCGGCTTGATCAATGAGGCAATAGCAGATCAAGCCAGTTCAACGTCGGTGCCTGGGTGAAGAAGGAGCGCGTGACACACGGGGCCATGGCCAGTCGGACCGCAAGCAGATGGATGATGTGATGGGGCTGGACTGGACGTTAGACTTTAGGAGGCGAGCCAGGCAGGCAGTCGGGAGCGTTGGGGGAGATGGCGGATTGCCAACAGTGCGTGCGTGGTCGTTAGCGGGCAACAAATGAGAGGAGGACTGAGAGCCAGGACCAGAGGGGTGTAGCGTGGCGTAGTGCCAACGCCAGGGTAATTTCGGGGGTACGGCGGGAGATGAGGATGGCACAGTCAGCAGGGCGCGGGTGTCTCGTGGCTATGAAACAATCGATTACAAGTAGATGGAGGGGATGGCCTGGCAATTTCCCATGCAGCGCTGCGGCGGGCGGGCGGGCGGGCGAGTGCAGGCCAGGAGGAGTGGGAGTGAGAGTGGGAGTGAGGTCATGCAAAGGGCGAGGGAAGGAGCGACCAACAGAAGAAGCAACCAGTAGGAGTAGGAAGCAGTGGAGCGCATGGTGATTGGAGTGCCGGGCGGTCTGTGCGTGGGGGCGACGCTTGGACGCTAGATCGGGAGGTGAGGGTTGCAAGCGCAGGCACAGGTGTGGGTGCAAGGAAGGAGCGGAGCGGCGATGCTAATGCTGCATCTGTGCTTAGTTCAGCAACGCCTGGAAAAGGAAAGATCAATGGGGCGTAATACAGCAGGAGCTGACGAGATGCGGGGGACAGCGACGCGCCCTGACACGAGCGTCGCACGAGCGAGTGAGCGAGTGCAGCTGAATGAGGACAGCAACGGCGCGTGCAGCATGCAAGGGAAGCGCGGGCAGACGGACAGGCAGGCAGCGACAATCCATCATTCAGCGCCTGCGACTTGCATGGCATGAGGGGCAGGCGGGCAGGCGCAAAACAACGTGACAGTCGTAGCCGGTGCACGGGCCGAGGAGACCCGAGCGCGCGACTACCACTGCAGAGGGGCACTATAGCAATAGTATGCTGTGTGGGTAGTGGATAGCGACATTCGCCATGGTCGAGGCAAACGAGGGGATATGCGAGGAAGCATGCACACGCAGCATGGATGGATGGAGATATGGGTTCGCTCATGTGTCATGGCACGGCAGCGTCGGCGTCGGACAAGTCGGGTGCGGGCGCGCTACTGGTGGCCGGCGCAGTGCAGGTAGTGGCAGTAGACAGTTAGCGGTAGCACAGCGAGGACAAAGGAGAGGTGGATGCCGAGCAGCGCAGAGGCAGGCAGTTAGGCCAGGGGAACCGAGTAGGGCCACCGGGACTGGGGTGTACGGGTGATTCGTTCGCTTGATTGGGCGTGCCGAGGCTAGCGGCCTCAGGTACGCGAAGGGCCAAGGGCCGCGCGCATGGTCGCCTCCCCGCGCGCAGCCAAGCCCACGCAGCCTGGCAGCCTGGCAGACGGGCGGCCGGCCTGGCGCGCTGCATTGGCTGGCACGCTGGCACGCTGGCCTGGCTGTCCCGGCGACGGGCGGCGGGCAAGCTGAAAGGATGATGAAAAACAAAGCGCGCTGTTGTGCGAGGCCAGCAGACGCCGCAGAACAAGCAACGTCGTGAGGCCCGGCGCTGCAAGGTACCGCCGAGCGCTGATTGGCAGCGGTGCATTCGGGGGCGCAATACCGGGGGCCGGGCGCCAGGGCGGTCTTTTTCCGCTGCTAGGCGTGGCTGTTGCTGCAGGTGCAGGCGCAGGCAGCGTGCAGACACACACACACACACACACACACACACGATACATGTTATTACCACATACGACATACTACATACATGGACACACATATGCACATGCACAGCCCTAGGGGAGGCGGGTCCTCGCCTTCCGACAGCGCCCAAAGACACGAAACAAGACGAGTCGAGGCGAGTCAAGTTGCGTCAAGGCACGTCAGGCCCAGTCGAGTCGTGTCTTGGGGCGTGATAGGTGCTAAGGCGGCGGCGACGACGGCGACGACGGCGCCCCGGTTCAGCCAGCGGTTCATTGTGTGCTGGATGATGTTAGCAAGTGATGGCAGGTGTGTGGAAGGTGTGTGGAAGGTGTTGCTGGTGCAGCACGGAAGCGGGGGGGGGGGAAGGAGCCATCTTACTGCTGGGAGTAACAAGGGCTAGGGTGGGAGTGAGGGGGGGAGGAGCACGCCTGCCAATTGTCACTGCGCGGTGGGAGCGAGGAAGGTGAAGATGAGGCGGCTCGGGCTCGCGGTATCAGGTGGCCAACATGTAGTGTGCGGGTGGGCTCGTGGTCTAGTTCTCTTCTTTTTTTATTTGTTTGTGTACTTTTGTGGTGGGATCGGGGGGAGGAGGGGGGGTCTCCGGGGCGAAGAATGCGAATCAGAAGAAGAAGAAGAAGAAGGGTGGTGGGAAGACGAAGCGAAGTGGCGGGCTGGGGCGGTGGTATAAACAATAGATTAGGAAGGGTAAAGGAGCGTGTACAGCTGGAGAGCAGAGAGTGAGCAAGGAGCGGATGCACAGGCGCGCAGCGAAGTGCGGCGGAAGAGGACGAGGGCGAGGGCGAGGGCGAGGGAAGGAGAAGGAACAATGCAGCGAGCAGATCTCCCGACCGAAGAGAAGGCTCTCGAGGGCGGGTCGGCGTGGGTATTGGACAGTTTTGGGTCTGGGGGAGTGACGAGGGCCTTTGAGCAGGCACCGGGATTTTGGAAGTGGACTAGGCTCATTTCCGTGCCGCGCATGGGCGCTTGAGCAGCGAGGAGCGAGCAGCGAGCAGAGGCCAGCAGAGGCCAAGCATGCGCAATGGGCAGCGGGCAGCGAGGAGCGCGCAGCCAGCGAGGCGCGCGCAGCCTGTAGCAGCAGCAGCCCAGCAGCCAGCCCGCAGCCGGGGCGTGCAGGGGAAAGAAGGATGGCGCCGAAGAGGCGCCTGCGGGAAAAAAGCCCAAGAAGGGCAAGAAGGGGCAGGAAGAGCCCAAGCAAGAGTTTGACCTCAATGCCGCACTGCCCAAAGCGGACGACTTCCGCACGAGCTTGATCCTGCCTGGCCTATCTACCCGCTTCAGCATGCTGAGAGAGCAGGACGACCCTTCGTCGTTGATAGGCAAGGCGAGCGACGACAGCGTCCTGCAGCCCAAACGCCAGTCACGCCTGCACGAGTTTGGCTTCAATCCCAGCGGCCTTGGCGACATTGCAGAGGTCTCATCACTCAGTAGTTCGGTCCGCCCCTTTGCCAACGAGCGCACCAATTCCTTTGACAGCGGCAGCAGAGACGAAGACAACTCGAGCAGCATAATGACTCGTGCAAGGCCGGGCGAGGGCAACATCTTGTTCGGCGGCCGACAGAAGATTTTCGTCATTTCAAACTCAAACTCAAAGGGCACAGGGCGCACACTCTACGACGACGACGTCAACATGTCAGCATACCAGCGCTTACGACAGGAGGAAAAGGAACGGCTGCGCCGAGAAGCAGAAGACGAAGACGAATTCCAACACGAAGACGACGGCAACCACCACTCGGAGCCCTCGAGTCCCTCGGAAGTCAGCCGCAAGAGAGAGACCACGTCTTCGACCAACTCGGGCCCAGTCAACACGCGCACTTCGACTGCTGCCACGTCAATAGCCTCGCAAGGCGCAAACTCCATCCCTGCCTCGTCTCCTGCCTTGCCTCCTTCGTCAGCTCCCATGGGCTCTCCAGACCTAAGCCGCTCTACCACCACCACTAAGCGCCGATTATACGACCAAGGCTTGGACCAGCAAATCCAGGACCAGCAGTCATCGGCCATGAGCCGCCTCAACTCGATACAGCGCGCACGAGCTCCGACAGGAAGATCAACCCCACCGGCAGGCATGGCCCATGCCCGTTCTGCGACAAACCTCCACGACCGCTTCGCCCGCGGTCCAGGCTTCCGCTCAGACAGCCCCAACTCCTTCTCAGGCCCTGGCATGACCCGAACCAACTCTTCTGATGCCACAAGTCCGGTCCTGTCGCGACCGCAATCGCCGCCATTGATTAGCCCAGTCATCAGCGAGGACAGCGACGCATATTCACTCAATGCCGCGCTCCAGCCGACTGACCGCGGCAAAGCCACGGCCATGGGAGCCTTTAACAAGCCCAAGGAGGCATTTAGTGAAGAGCAATACGCCGAGCGCTTGCGCCAGATGAACCAGGATCGTCAGGCACGCGAGTCGCCGGCACCAGGGTCCGAAAATCCATCCGCTCGCAAGCCTACGTTGAGGGAGCGTGCAGAACAGGAAAAACGAAAGAGGGCCGCAAGTGAAGCAAAAGAAACACATAAGCCTGAATCCGCTGCCGAGCCAAGCCCGGCGACACATGCTTTTTCCAGATTCCAGGCTGCTGCTAGCCAGATGAGGACGGCAGGTGCAGCCCTGGCAAGCCCACCGTCACAGCAGCGTGAGAAAGGCCAGGATGATTGTGCAAAGGCCACGTTTCTCGCCTCTGCAACTTCCAGTGATGATGAGCAGGCTGAAGAGGAAGCGCCCAGGCCGACGGCAACTCGTCCAGCCGGATCCGCCCGCCGTTTTGACAACCTTCCCGTTGCCACTGGTCCTGCACCGCCCATGTTTGAACACCCTGCGCTTCGTGCGCGCGCGCCATCAGACGACCAGGCTCAGCTGTCAGGTTTTGCTGCTCATACTCTCAGCCCTTCGCTGCGTGCAGACCTTCAGCCTCCCAAGCCGAGTGGCCTAGATTCGAATGCTCCCACTCTAGGCCCTAATAACGGTGGGCTTAGTGGATTGATTCGCCAGCACCTACGCAATGTCAGCAATGTCAGCAATGTTTCGTCGGCCTATGGAGAAGCTGGACCGCCTTTGATGAGTCCGCCCATGGCTTCAGCTAACAATGACTTTGGTCTACAGCGCAGACAGCCAGAGTCAGAGGCCGGCACTCGAGCACCCTCGACCTACACGCACTCGAACCCGTGGGACCTGGACGACATTGACAACCCGTATCGCGACACGGAGCCGGCTAACCCATCGAGTCCTATTGAGGGATCCACCAGGATAAGGCCTCTTATCATGAGCACTTCTGAGCAGCCCAGATCCAAGAATGGCAGTGCTGCGTGGGACCTCACACCGCGAAGGAATCACGAGAGGATTGCTAGCAACGAGACCGAGGCGGAGCACGAGGCTTTCCAGCGCGATCTTGCGCAGAGGCAACGCTTCATCCAAGAAAATCTTCGCGCAAGGGCCGAGGGTCGGTCGACAAGCCCTGGGCCTGGCGCTGGACCCGGTTCGTCGGGAGGATTGAAGAATGCTCTGAGCATGCTTCGTGCAAAGTCGAGTGGTGAATCATTTGCCACGGTCGAAGCTCCCAACAAGTCGGTACGGAAGCTAGCACTTGGTGGAGCGGCAGGAAATGCCAGCAGCACTTCGCTTGCAGAAATGCCACCACTACGCTCCAAGCCGTCGCGTGTACTCCAGCAGAGCGAGCAGGATGCTCAGCGTGAACTCGACCAGCGACAACGTTCAGCGACGGACAGCAGCCGGACGGGTCGGCCTACAGGCAGATCACCACCCGTGTCAACTCGGAGCTCAACGCGAGAACGGTCGAGCTCTGGCACGTCGTCTGGGCGGTCGCGTAGCCGCGGAGACCACTACCGTGACGACCTGGACCAGGCCATGTCCGAGGGAACTCGGAGCGCATACCCTGCCAATACGCTTCCTTCGCTACCTGGATACGTTGCACACGCCACGCCGCCACTGCCAGCTCCCAAGTCGTCGATGGAGTCGACGCGGTCGCGGTCACGGAGCAACAGCAAAGCTTCTGCTGCCAACCACTTCGAGTCGAAGCACCTTTTTCCGATCCAGACGAACCTTGGGGCGGGGCAGAATTCGCGCTTCACTCCTGGGCAGGGCAAGGTGTCGCCTGGTTTGCCCATGTCGCCGCGGCCTTCGCCTGGCGCATATAGCAACAACGAACAGGGTTACCCGCATCCCAACTCGCCCATGCCGCCGTTTGCGACTAGCCACACGCCTCCTGTTTCCAACCCCACGACACCTAACATTACGGCCTTCAACCCAAGCACTGTACAGCCTCTGACGCGACAAGGGGTGCTACGGAAGAAGTCTGTGGCCAAGGCGGACATTTCGGAGCCTGTTTTCCTGTCGACAACGTCGGTAATTGACTTGGTTGATCTGCCGGCGGGCGCGTCTCTCAAGAACGGCAGCGAGCCGGAAGCGCCACCGGTTCCGCCGATCAATCCCATGAGGCGGCGGTTTGGCCTGGGGCGTGGGGACAGCCATGGGTCGGACCCTGCGGTGCAGCCTGGGATTGGAGAACCTGTTCGCACAGGGTCTGCCGACATAGCCAAGGAGGCTGCTTACTCACCACCGCCGCGAAACATGCTGAGGAAAGCGACAAGTGAAGGGCGGAGTCTGCGTGGAGCGGCTCAAAGCCAGCTTCGACCATCAGCGCCGATGCCACACGACGAGGGTCAAGGACGCAACCACTCGCCGCCTCGTAGTGGACGGCCGGTCGAGGGCGCCATGTTCTAAAGGGTGTGTTGTTGTTGCGAGTGATGCGACCCTCTCTTACCTACTTTCTTCTTTGGGCCTGGCACTGACAAGCAGCCACTGCGTTTTTTTCTTCTTTCTTCTTTCTTTTTCTTTTTCTTTATCTTTTTCTTTTCTTTTCTTTTCTTTTCTTTTCTTTACATCTTCATTGTTGATTTCGTGTCTTAGAGAAAACAAGCTCCTTTCCTTGGGTTGACATATATATTCGGATTGCCACGACTGCGACCAGGGCGTTTTTTTTGTTTGGACATATTTGTCTGGTTGATCTCTTTCCTTGCCATGGACCGCAGCGATATACCTCTGGATTGTTTAACTTTTTTTGATTGGGAAGATCTGTTTCATGATGAACGATGGGGTCCTGGCTAGACTACGACCCAGCACCGGCTGGACGCGGTGTTAGCAAGAGGGTCGCAAACGGTCTCACAAGGTCCAAGTACAGCTTTTGTGTGATTGGGATCGGGAGGCTAGTTTGAAAAACATGGACTGAGGGTGCAAGGGGAGAGGTAGTAGTAGTGGTAGGCAGGCGTCATCATGTAGGGGTCATGGCGCGGGGTGTAGTGGTGAATAGCTAAAGACAATGAAATATGTGGTGGCATTGCGTATGGGCGACGTGTGTGTGTGTGTGTGTGTGCCGATTGGGGCCATGTTTGCGAGGAGAGGTGTTGTCACTGGGGGTGGGCAAGGTGAAACGGCAGAAGAAAGCTTGATTGTGGGTGTGGTGTGTGGGGAGTAGAAACAGGACGAAGGAAGGTGTTTGTCTGGATGGAGAGCAGGCTGCATGATGACATGAGCGCAGGCAGGCAACTAACGTGACACGGAGCGGTGCAGAGACAAAAGCAAAGAGCAGGCGAGAGCAACGACATGGCGATTGGCAGGCACGCGCAGAGGGAACAGCATTTGAGACAGGTGAGGCGGTGGGAGGCGTGTGTGGGCGCATCAGGTGACGCAGGGGCCTTGTTTCAGACGCCGCCGCCGGGCCGGGGGGGAGGCAGCAGTGGCCTGTGCGCGGTAGTTGGGGCGGGCGGGCGAGTCGAGTGCAAACGCTTCTGGACTCGTTCTAGGCGGATGCGAGCGGCGCCCGAGTAGGCATAGCAGCGCATACCATGGTCGCAGCTGCTGCAACGAAGAATGGATCAGGACGAAAAAGAAACGCACAAAAGAAAAAGAAACGAAAAGAAAGGGAAAGGAGCCATGCAGCCGACGGTGATTGGCAAAGCGATGATGAGCAAAGGGGGGCTACATGGATACGTGATGGTTAGTGGTGGTGGGTGGTGGGTGGTGGGTGGAGATGATATCAGACCCGCTGAGGCATGCAGGTACAGGTACGCAACCGACAAGGCTAGCCTGGAACCATCTCCGTGCGGCTTGGCGCGCCTACTTGGTCGTAGTATTTGCTGCAGCGCCATGGGGGGGGCAGAACAAGCAAAACCAAAGCACTTTATCTATCCATGCAATCTCTGCTGCGGCGGTGACTTACGTAGCAAAAGCACGAGTATCGTCTTGTTAGGGGGGGGGGACTCTGGAGAAACAAGCTCAGTGCCCCCATGGGCTTTTGCTGGGTGGGGCTTGGCGAGCCATATTATGGTTATATTGCCATCAGCACCACCGGCAGTCATCCAAACATGCTGCTGCTGCTGATGATCAGTTTTTTTTTGTTGGTGCCGCACAGTGCCATGGCGCCCGAGTGACTTGCCAGCTCCGAGAACATGTGTCAGAAAAGCAATGAGCGACACGAAAAAAAGTAAGCAGCCGTGGGGCGCGTGCACAGGAGTTCATTCAACGGCGGGCTTGCTTTTTTGGGCGTGTGCGTGCATGCACGTGTATGCGCGTGTGTATGGACGGCTTCGGTGGTGATGCTGCTGCTGCTGCTGCCGCCAGCCCGACAGGCCCGCGAGGCATGGCTGATACGCTTTCCGCTGCACTCGTCGTGGGCGGTGCAAAGGAATCGAGGGAGCGGAGAGGCAGCAGTGGCATCGTCTCCGTGTCCGCTCCCCCAGCCACGCTAACCGCGTATGTGCAAGGGTATTGCACCGACCCAAATTCTAATCGGGCCCTGACATGCGCTTTGGAGCCACATGGCCCGCCACCACCACGGCCACCACCACCACTGCTCGCCCCCGCTCTCTCCCTCTCTCTCTCTCTAGTAAGTATTAGCAGTATCGCTCGCTCCACCTCAACGCCTGGCGCCCCCCACTCCCCCTCCCCGTGTGTGCCGTTGCGAAAAGCACTCGCTCCCCTGGCCCTCGACACCGCCGTACCATGTCTACGCCGTCAATGGGGTAATATCCATGGCTGACGGCAAATGCTGCGGATTGGACCAACCGGGAAAAACGGCCAAGTAAGCACCGCGAATAACCCCAAACAGCACCACCCCCAGTGTCGATTGCCTCCGCCTTTTGCCCAGTGTTCATCTCACTAGCCACTGCTGCTGCGGAAGCCATCCCCTAGTAGCGCCTATCGACGACTCTTGGGCCACAACCCAAACCTAATGCCCCTTCTGCTAGCCCCACCCCCCTCGCTCTGTCGTACATGTTAATAAGGTCTCGCTCCTCGTCCGTTTTTCCCTTTCCTCGTCCCCATCTTACTTTGTTGTCCTCTTCACTTCGACGCCCTTTGTCGCCCGCTCCTGACCACCAGTCAATCTTTGTACTACCCGTTTAATCACAACAACAACCCACAACAACCTCAAAGATGCGTTTCCAAGCTACCGTCCTGGCCTTTGCCGCCACCCTCGCCATGACCAGCGCCCAGTCCCAGCCTGACCTGTCTGGCATTCCCTCTTGCGCTGTACGTCTCTCTCCACACCCCCCCCATTCAACACCATCCATGCTAATCCCCCCCTTAGCTTCCTTGCTTCGTCTCCGCTCTGCCCAAGTCTGGCTGCGGTGCCACCGACATCAAGTGCCAGTGCACTACTGGTCGCGACGCCATCCAGGCCGAGGTCCAGAAGTGCTCGGTTGAGAAGTGTAGCCAGGACGACCTTGCCAGTATGTCGCTTTCCACTCGACATTTGCATGCCAATCACGTGACTAACCAATACTTCAACAGAGCTCACCTCTGCCGTTGCTAAGCTTTGCCAGTCTGGTGGTGTCACTCTCTCCAACGTTCCTTCTGTCTCCACCCCGGCTGCCGCCAGCGCTAGCGGCTCCTCTGCCGCTGGCTCTTCTGCTCCTGCCGCCTCTACACCTGCTGCCAGCGGCACTTCCGCAAGGGCCTCCACCTCCCCCAGGCCTACCGGCAACGCTGCCGCCAACAACGCCGTTGGCTTCGGTGCTATTGCCCTTGGTTTCGCCGCCGTCTTTGGATTGTAAATACTCGACTCGTCCATGGAAACGGTCGTCGTGTGGCACGAAGAATGATGGAGGACACTGGTTTTTTCTCTCTATACTCTCTCCATTGGCCCCGCTCCAGTCAACGCTGCGCCATTGGCTGAATTCCCAAATTCGCTTTCCTCTGCGCAATTTCCAAGTCCCATAAAGCCTATTGGAGTTTGATCCATAATTTTGATAGATGATTATCCCATCTTATTTAACGCTTAATGTACGCTGTACAATTCATCTCATAATCGTATGCTTTGGTGATAGCATTGTGTGCTCGACGTGTAATCGTTCTCGTGCTTACATTCCCCGGTCTCCACCGTCAGCGTTCCAGAACAACAGAAAAAGATTCAAAAAAACCCCCCCAAAAAAAAGCTAAAAGCATAATTAACCTTTGTGTTTATCTCTCTGCTCGATAAACTTTACCACAGACATAAATTTTTGCCACTAGTAAAACCCACCAGACGGCTCGAGTCCGAGTGGATGGTTTTTTTTTTCTGTCTTTTCTTGTTACCCGACCAACTGCGCATAAGTACACACGTGCACGGCTTGTACTTGGTTAGCGTATCAAGTACCCTCCCCAAAGCTTCTGCAGACCATGAGCATCCAAGCTTCCAAGGCATAACATCCAAGCTTTTTACGTACCATTGACATCCAAGCTTGTACACAACAATAGTAATAATAATAACAACAACAACAACAACAACAACAACAACAACAACAACAACAACAACAACAACAACAACAACAACAACAACAACAACAACAACAACAACAACAACAACAACAA